TGGTCCGTCTTCATCAGATAATCCTGAAATTCAATTTTGAAATTTAACCTAAAAGCAGAATATATATATACATGTACATGTAAAACTTTATTTTTGTCTGCATAATTTAAATGATATTTGTTGAAATAATTTACAAATGTGTAAACATAAGTAAGAAAATACTCGTATTCCCAACATCATGTAGTTTCATAGGGATATATATAGGTTCATTGAAATGTGTACTTATGACCTCAGGCGTTCTATAAATTTGCAAAACTAATATCGTATAAGTGGTTTTTTCTGCGGGCTCCAAATTCTGCGGTTTTTCCAAATTTTGGCATGTTTTTATTTCTGCGGACTTTATTTCTGCGGCACATTCTTTGGACAAAACATGATTTAAATTCTGCGACTCGTCTTATCAAAGTATAAGTCACATTACCCTATCTATTATGTTTACATATATACGTTCGCATTTGTTTATCGTCGTCACCGCAAAACTGTATAGTAACTACAAACAATTATATTGTTTGCTTGCAGACAAATATAATGCGCAACAATAGAAAGGTATACATCTTTGATCAGCGTGAAGTAACAGGTGAAAAATATACCCCTGTAGTATGATCTTTAATTTAATAAAATTGATACAAGTTTACCTATCGTATTAGATGACATTATAAGTAAACAACGATTATTTAGCAGTATAAGTTGGAATGGTTTGAAATATCTTTATTCTTCAATTGGCATAATTAACAATAAGTACATCCTTACAAACACACATTACATACTTAGCCGTCTGCAATTTTATACAACTTGAAAAACCCGCTAACCGTTATTATCTGTTTGTCGTTATAACTTTAGACGAAACAGGTCACAATGTAGGATACATATCGTAGCAGGTTAGAGAAATATTCTGCGGTTTTAATTTCTGCGGTGCCGAAACTGACCGCAGAAAACGCAGAAATAAAGTCATCGCAGAAAAAACCACTTATACGGTACGTTTTTGTCTCACTTTCTTGAAATTGAAACAGTCGTTAAATGTACCATTGTCTGTCTTACATTTAAAGTATCAAACAATATTATAAATAAGTGTCTTACATGGGCATACGACATTGCATTGCGCTTTTCCTGGCGTGTCGTCTGCTCCCCGATCCAGACGAACACCGACTCTTTCGTGTCAAAAATAAATACATCCTGAAATAATTGCATTTAAATAGGGTATGATTATTAAATGATAAAGTTCAATTTCATTTCAATATCTGCGTATCAATTCGTAAAAATAGCAAGAAAATGGAAACAACCAACGCGCGAAAATGGCGGGAATATGGGCGTGAAGAAACGCCAACTGTCGCGTATCCTCACCTCACTATCAAAGTCTTCCATGTCGATCTTTCCTGATTTTTCCAGCGTCATTTCCATAGTTCCAGAAGCATCTGACAATCTATGATAAAAGAATAATATGATTTATTGATGGGGACAAAAACGTACCTTTGTTTTGTATTTGTATAATAACATTACTAAATAAGGCTAAATGCATGGAAATTAATTATTTAAGAATCATTAATTATATATTTATGAAGTTTTGATTGTGTGTTGCGTGATAATGCGAAAGATACATTATATTTTTTATAGACAGTCGGTTTCTGTGAATTTGTACAAATGTTTTGTATGGGGCCGTTAGTTGTTTACAATTTGTACAAATGTTTTGTGTGTGGCTTGTAAGTTGTTTTTATTTTGAACAAATAATTGTTTAAATAAAAAGAAACATATAGGACATGTAATGAGTGATAAAATATTTGCAAAATTTTAGACTCGGTAAGAATGTTAATAATTTGTTTATGCTGTCAGAAAAAAGACTGGGAAGCAACAAAAATATACAGGGGTTTCATATTGACAAGTAGCCGGGTAAAATCGCCCGCAACATGTTACGAGTCAAACAGCTACTGGTAATGTTCCTTTACATTAAGAGAGTCATACCGTAATGCTTTCCCGCCAAAACATTTCTAACATCGGCCACCGGAATTTAGTACATAGCGATAAAGGATGAGTGATTGTAAATAATCTAATGCCCAAGATTTTGAAAAATAATGTTCCGGAAGGAATGTTAAGAAATTACTTATTATCTTTCAGATACATACATGTATGTGTAATCAAAACTCCTGATAATAGTCTGGTCCTTAATCCCTATCAAAATGGCTGGTTAATTTTGTTTGTTTGATATTAAAATCCCTTCAGACTGACAATAAGCAGGTTCCAAATTCAAAACCGGGCAAGTCCATTGACCAAAATCAGGGGAGAGAGGTAGGAGAATTTAGATCTTAATTTCATCATTTCTTTCCAGAAGCAAATTGCAATAATGCCATTTATCATTACCCTGGTAATAAATGTATGAATTTGGCCCATATTTGTCATTTTCATCCTTTAATTTAGATATATGCATATTTGGAAAAATGATAAGTGGAAATTTGTTTTCTGTCACTCAATGTCATATTCACACTTGTTTTTTTCTATACTCCATATGTATAAAATGATGAAAGTTGCAAATTTCTATGAAATTTTGATTGATTGAATAAGTTCTAAATTAATTTTTAAAGGCTGTTGGTTTTTATTTCGAGAGTCTCAAATGTTTATCAGCATGTCATCATTGCCTAATATATTTTGTGGCATTTCTTGTACATTGCATTTTGACATGTAGGTGATGGTTTTAGTTTAAATATTATCTATGAGTGGACATATAATATAGAATTTTATTAAACAAGTCACAACATTGTCACAAAGAGAGCCTCTGGCAAGTAAAACATTTTCTGGGACAAGTTTAATAAAATTTTTATATCATATGATAGTGATAATGTGAGATTCTTTTCATCATGTGACTAAACGTACTGAAATTAATGAAAATAAACTTCTTTCGATGTTTTATGCAGCTCCCTATTGTTAGCCGTCTTTCTTATGAAACATATAGGCAAAAATGATGTCAAATCAATGCTATACTTTACATATGTGTCATATGAAGAAATACATAATGGTTACATAAGATAGAAAACAAACATGTCAGGTGATACGATATTTTTATGGCACCTGATGTATTACGATGGAGCATATAGTTAGTTGTCTGTTTGCGTTTCTGTCTTTCCGTTACCGTAGAGTTGCTTACCATTTTTCATAGCATCATGACTTGACTGATATATTAGCTTATAACAAAATGTGTTGGTACCAGGTCATTGGACCACATCTCCTTTTGGTAAGGTGTCAGATCAGTTTGATCTTGTTCAAGGTCATTGAAGCTAAAAATAGATTTTATTATTTTTCCCACATCAAAGCCACATGGTTAACTTTGTCAGGCAACCTGTGTCAGTGGTACCATATATTTGTTTTACAACTTGTATGACCTTTATTTTTGAATGCTAAATTTAAAATTTCAGGATTACTGTTTCATAAACCTTGCTAAAAAAACCTTCTTCAAAATGGTAATGCAAAAAAGTTTCACTTGTGAATAAAGTGTTCTTTGTCATACTATAATCTTGATGTTGACTGGAAACAGAATATTTCAGTAAAAATATGTAAAAAAAAAATAGATGAAAAAGTATCCTATTTTGTAAAAAGAAAAAAGGTAATATATTCAGTCGGATTCTATTCTTTTCCTGCCTGTCACCTTGAAGATCTCCACTTGCAAGACCCACTTTTAGGTCATGGGGTCAAAGGTCAAGGTTACCTCATGGGCATGGCTTACATTGGAGCATGTTTTTATGTATTTTTCTTTCTACCTTTGAAAGGAATATTTTTTCTTCTTGGTATCTTTAGCATTGTGTCATAGATAGACTGTGATATTACTTTATTTATTTCATGTTGTTATTGTTGTATAGCATATTATTTTTCTCGGCATACATAACAATATCTTGATACTTGTAAAACATTTAAATGCTTAAAATTGACTTAAATTGCGAAGATTTCTTTACAAGTTATTTTTATCAAAATGTGTGATTATAAACTCAAGATCTGACCATATATGTCCATAGTGATTTGGCTGTGATATATAAACTCAAGTTCTGGCCATATATGACCATAGCGATTTAGGTGTGATTATAAACTCAAGTTCTGGCCATATATGAACATAGCGATTTTTGTGTAACTTATAAAGTTAAGCTTGGGCTGTAAATTAAATTTTTTGACAAATAATTAATCAACAATTGACAATTTGTGTTTTAGGGATATTCTGACTTGAAGATTCTGTTACATATATTAAGATTTCTTATATAGATTTATTTACATAATGGATAATTATATTCACACCAATTGTTAGGTTGTTTGATTTCTTTTATTTGTTTACCTTTTAACTGAAAAATACTACGGATGTGTTAAGTTTTCTCCACTATAACCATTTAGTTTTGTCTTAACTTTGTTTATTGTCCCCAACGTGCCAGAGTTGTTTATGTACAGTGTCTTAAATTTCACAATTCCTCAAGTGTTCTTCTCAGATATTTTTGTTCATGCTTTACTTGTCTGTTGTTAGATTGAGAGAAATAGAATAAAGAAAAAAATAAATTATTTATGGGAAATAGATGTGTTATGGTGTAATTTCATATCCATTTTGAGATCACTGAGAACGTGTCTTGTGCAGTGTGTGTGCATTATTTTTACATAGGTAATCGTACTTGTCAGGTGAGCTTATTTGCCATATTTTATTTTGCGTGGCAGTGGCCAAGTGTTTAACGCGTGGGCCTTTTTTTTCATTTTCTTTCTTGCAATGGCAAGACCATGGCAAAATTATACCCTAGCCAGTCCAAAAAGATATCTTCCATGGCAGTTAGTAAATAATTTGCATTGACGAATATTTTTCGACAGAATTAACTCTTTTTTGTCTGAAGCAAAAATCAGAGAGATTTCCTCTTTATCATAAAAAATGAGACTCGAATTCAAGAATATACCTTTTACAAGTGCAAGTGTTTTATTTTAAAAACTCAAAGTTGCTAGACAATACCGTATTGACAGAAACAAAACTATCACAAAAATGCCAAGAAATACGAGATAAATGTAAAAGAATACTTATGAATACAAACGTCAATTTGTAATTTAATTTGTGCATCAAGTTTATACATAAAATTCTTGATAATCGTGCAATAGGAGTCAACAGTTTTGGTAAAATTGAAAAAAATGGTCTTTCTTTTAATTCCTAAACTATGCGCAAAAAGTGGAAAAGGGTTGCATTTGGTACAAGTGCTTCTTATGTGAACACTACAGGCCGGATGAAACAAATTCAAGAAGCTTTGTAAAGAATGTTTCCAGTCTACATCAAGTTACTGAACAGACATGAAAAGTGTCGCATCAGGCTGCAATCGCCATATTGAACGCCTCGGAACACTTGTTTTCGGAGAGACAACAAATTGGAACAAATGGATGGTCTGTCTTCATCAGATAATCCTGAAATTCAATTTTGAAATTTAACTTAAAAGCAGAATATATATATATATATACATGTACATGTAAAACTTTATTTTTGTCTGCATAATTTAATTGATATTTGTTGAAATAATTTACAAATGTGTAAACATAAGTAAGAAAATACTCGTATTCCCAACATCATGTAGTTTCATAGGGATATATATAGGTTCATTGAAATGTGTACTTATGACCTCAGGCGTTCTATAAATTTGCAAAACTAATACGTTTTTGTCTCACTTTCTTGAAATTGAAACAGTCGTTAAATGTACCATTGTCTGTCTTACATTTAAATTATGAAACAATATTATAAGTAAGTGTCTTACATGGGCATACGACATTGCATTGCGCTTTTCCTGGCGTGTCGTCTGCTCCCCGATCCAGACGAACACCGACTCTTTCGTGTCAAAAATAAATACATCCTGAAATAATTACATTCAAATAGGGTATGATAATTAAATGATAAAGTTCAATTTCATTTCAATATCTGCGTATCAATTCGTAAAAATAGCAAGAAAATGGAAACAACCAACGCGCGAAAATGGCGGGAATATGGGCGTGAAGAAACTATCCTCACCTCACTATCAAAGTCTTCCATGTCGATCTTTCCTGATTTTTCCAGCGTCATTTCCATACTTCCAGAAGCATCTGACAATCTATGATAAAAGAATAATATTATTTATTCATGGGCACAAAAACGTACCTTTGTTTTGTATTTGTATAATAACATTACTAAATAAGGCTAAATGCTGGAAGCCCACTCAACAGTTTACCAAATTTAAAGATAAGAAACTAAATACCCTGATACGAGTTTGTCCAATTTAGATAGGATTGTATAAAAAGAACTATGGTAGTCAAAATGATGAGTATTTTCATTCTAATTAGGAAATAAAATAATAATATCAACTATGAAGTTTACTGTCTCGAAACGTTGCCAGTCAAATAAAAAAACAGGATTAAAAGTTTAAAGATATTTTTACTTTCAAGAGTCACTAAACATTACCTGATTTTTAAGCAAGGAATGTAATTAATGCCCTCACCTGTACAGTTCTTTAGTCTTGTCAACAGTTACAGTGTTGTCGTCTGCATCGCCGTCCTCAGTTAGAGCGGCATAAAACTCGTTCTTTAAAAATAATAATTTTTTTACATATACAAACATTAAGAATATCAATATAGCTCCAACGTGTTATTTCAACTCAAGATATTTATATATTCACATGCCTTTATTTCATAATTATATGAAAAAATAAACACATCATCTAACAATTCTGGTAGGTCTTCAAAGTAGAGGAAGTCGGCCTTCTATAAATAGAGGGCCGAGTACTGACATCAGTGTTTTTGTGTGTGTTTTTGTGTGTATGTGTGCGTGTTTTTTTTGTTGTTTTTTTGCAAGGGACATGATTGAAATAGAAACTTGAGGGTCTAGCCTGCCATAAGATAATCTAGAACACAGTTTCGCAGATTTCTGTATATTTAAACATCTCGAAAAGAAATGAGTGTAGTTGGTAGTTGGATATTCGAATAATCAACTACCGACTAGCTAGTTAGCTGACAGTTGGTTATTCGTAATTCCCAACTATTTCACAGCTGGTACTTGGTAATTCAATCACCAGCATACAATGTTGGAACATATCATACATTAAAGGAGGGGACCTAGTTGGTAGTTCGCGCGAATCCCCAGTTTGTAATTCGAACTTTGAATGTTTACCCCTCAAAACAAAAAGTACTTTTCCAACCAACTACGTCACCTGGTCGACGAAGGGAGACGGGGTGATACCATTTGATAAAAGTCATCCATCGTATAAACATGCTAAGTTCGAATTACTAGTACCATTAAATAACTTTCATTATTAGATTATTTATCTTTGTTTCAAAATCACATCGCAAAAAGCAGAAAAATATTTTTAACTTCTTTTTATCAATATTTAGAATGATGATGACACTATGTTTGTCATGTCCAGCATGTGAGTGGCGCCCTCTTAGCATAGTGTTCTGTGTTCGCTGTGTACATAATGTCCACTTTGTAAGGTCTATTGGTAGTTCCCTGTGAGTCATATTTGCTGTGTGGGTAGTGTCCTACATGTCTGTGTCAGTGTAGTGTATATCTGTGTCAGTGTGTGGGTAGTGTCCTACATGTCTGTGTCAAGTGTCCTACATGTCTGTGTCAATGTGTGTCTAGTGTCCTACATGTCTGTGTCAAGTATCCTACATGTCTGTGTTAATGTGTCTGTAGTGTCCTACATGTCTGTGTCAATGTGTCAGTAGTGTCCTACATGTCTATGTCAATGTGTGTCTAGTGTCCTACATGTCTGTGTCAAGTGTCCTACATGTCTGTGTTAATGTGTCAGTAGTGTCCTACATGTCTGTGTCAATGTGTCTGTAGTTTTCTACATGTCTGTGTCAATGTGTCAGTAGTGTCCTACATGTTCTATGTCAATGTGTGTCTAGTGTCCTACATGTCTGTGTCAAGTGTCCTACATGTCTGTGTCAAGTGTCCTACATGTCTGTGTTAATGTGTCAGTAGTGTCCTACATGTCTGTGTCAGTGTAGTGTATATCTGTGTCAGTGTGTGGGTAGTGTCCTACATGTCTGTGTCAAGTGTCCTACATGTCTGTGTCAAGTGTCCTACATGTCTGTGTTAATGTGTCAGTAGTGTCCTACATGTCTATGTCAATGTGTGTCTAGTGTCCTACATGTCTGTGTCAAGTGTCCTACATGTCTGTGTTAATGTGTCAGTTGTGTCCTACATGTCTGTGTAAATATGTCTGTAGTGTCCTACATGTCTGTGTCAGTGTAGTGTTTATCTGTGTCAGTGTGTGGGTAGTGTCCTACATGTCTGTGTCAAGTGTCCTACATGTCTGTGTCAAGTGTCCTACATGTCTGTGTTAATGTGTCAGTAGTGTCCTACATGTCTGTGTCAATGTGTCTGTAGTTTTCTACATGTCTGTGTCAATGTGTCAGTAGTGTCCTACATGTCTATGTCAATGTGTGTCTAGTGTCCTACATGTCTGTGTCAAGTGTCCTACATGTCTGTGTCAAGTGTCCTACATGTCTGTGTTAATGTGTCAGTAGTGTCCTACATGTCTGTGTCAATGTGTCTGTAGTGTCCTACATGTCTGTGTCAATGTGTCAGTAGTGTCCTACATGTCTGTGTCAATGTGTGTCTAGTGTCCTACATGTCTGTGTCAGTGTGTGCGTAGTGTCCTTCAGTGTTCGTAGTGTCCTACATGTCTGTGTCAATGTGTGTCTAGTGTCCTACATGTCTGTGTCAATGTGTGTCTAGTGTCCTACATGTCTGTGTCAGTGTGTGCGTAGTGTCCTTCAGTGTTCGTAGTGTCCTACATGTCTGTGTCAATGTGTGTCTAGTGTCCTACATGTCTGTCTCGGTGTGTGCGTAGTGTCCTTCAGTGTTCGAAGTGTCCTACTTGTCTGTGTCAATGTGTCTGTAGTGTCCTACATGTCTGTGTCAATGTGTCAGTAGTGTCCTACATGTCAGTATATGTGCGAAGTGTCCTACATGTCTTTGTCAGTGGGTGCGTAGTGTCCTTCAGTGTTCGTAGTGTCCTACATGTCTGTGTCAATGTGTGTCTAGTGTCCTACATGTCTGTGTCAATGTGTGCGTAGTGTCCTTCAGTGTTCGTAGTGTCCTACATGTCTGTGCTAGTATGTACGTAGTGTCCTACATGTCTGTGTTAGTGTGTCGGTAGTTTTCTACATGTCTCTGTCAGTGTATTGTCCTACATCAGTATATGTGCGAAGTGTCCTACCTGTCTATATCAGTGTGTGCGTAGTGTCCTGCATGTCTGTCTCAGTGTGTGCGTAGTGTCCTTCATGTCTGTGTCAGTGTGTGCGTAGTGTCATACATGTCTGTGTCAGTGTGTGCGTAGTGTCCTACATGTCTGGGTCAGTATGTGCGAAGTGTCCTGCCTGTCTATGTCAGTGTGTGCGTAGTGTCCTTCATGTGTGTGTCGGTGTGTGCGTTGTGTCCTACATGTCTGTGCCAGTGTGTGCGAAGTGTTCTACCTGTCTGTCTAGGTGTATTGTCCTACATGTCAGTATATGTGCGAAGTGTTCTACCTGTCTGTGTCAATGCGTGCGTAGTGTCCTACATGTCTGTGCCAGTGTGTGCGTAGTGTCCTGCATGTCTGTGTCAGTATGTGCGAAGTGTTCTACCTGTCTATGTCAGTGTGTGCGTAGTGTCCTACATGTCTGTCTCAGTGTGTGCGAAGTGTCCTTCCTGTCTATGTCAGTGTGTGCGTAGTGTCCTGCATGTCTGTCTCAGTATGTGCGAAGTGTCCTTCCTGTCTATGTCAGTGTGTGCGTAGTGTCCTTCCTGTCTATGTCAGTGTGTGCGTAGTGTCCTACATGTCTGTCTCAGTATGTGCGAAGTGTTCTACCTGTCTATGTCAGTGTGTGCGTAGTGTCCTACATGTCTGTCTCAGTATGTGCGAAGTGTTCTTCCTGTCTATGTCAGTGTGTGCGTAGTGTCCTACATGTCTGTCTCAGTGTGTGCGAAGTGTCCTTCCTGTCTATGTCAGTGTGTGCGTAGTGTCCTACATGTCTGTCTCAGTGTGTGCGAAGTGTCCTTCCTGTCTATGTCAGTGTGTGCGTAGTGTCCTGCATGTCTGTGTCAGTATGTGCGAAGTGTCTTCCTGTCTATGTCAGTGTGTGCGTTGTGTCCTACATGTCTGTGTCAGTATGTGCGAAGTGTTCTACCTGTCTGTCTAGGTGTATTGTCCTACATGTCAGTATATGTGCGAAGTGTTCTACCTGTCTGTGTCAGTGTGTGCGTAGTGTCCTGCATGTCTGTGTCAGTATGTGCGAAGTGTCCTTCCTGTCTATGTCAGTGTGTGCGTAGTGTCCTACATGTCTGTGTCAGTATGTGCGAAGTGTCCTTCCTGTCTATGTCAGTGTGTGCGTAGTGTCCTACATGTCTGTGTCAGTATGTGCGAAGTGTTCTACCTGTCTATGTCAGTGTGTGCGTAGTGTCCTGCATGTCTGTGTCAGTATGTGCGAAGTGTCCTTCCTGTCTATGTCAGTGTGTGCGTAGTGTCCTACATGTCTGTGTCAGTATGTGCGAAGTGTTCTACCTGTCTGTCTAGGTGTATTGTCCTACATGTCAGTATATGTGCGAAGTGTTCTACCTGTCTGTGTCAGTGCGTGCGTAGTGTCCTACATGTCTGTGCCAGTGTGTGCGTAGTGTCCTGCATGTCTGTGTCAGTATGTGCGAAGTGTCCTTCCTGTCTATGTCAGTGTGTGCGTAGTGTCCTACATGTCTGTCTCAGTGTGTGCGTAGTGTCCTTCATGTCTGTGTCAATGTGTCAGTAGTGTCCTACATGTCTGTGTCAGTATATGTGCGAAGTGTTCTACCTGTCTATGTCAGAGTGTGCGTAGTGTCCTACATGTCTGTGTCAGTGCGTGCGTAGTGTCCTACATGTCTGTGCCAGTGTGTGCGTAGTGTCCTGCATGTCTGTGTCAGTATGTGCGTAGTGTCCTTCCTGTCTATGTCAGTGTGTGCGTAGTGTCCTACATGTCTGTCTCAGTGTGTGCGTAGTGTCCTTCATGTCTGTGTCAATGTGTCAGTAGTGTCCTACATGTCTGTGTCAGTATATGTGCGAAGTGTTCTACCTGTCTATGTCAGAGTGTGCGTAGTGTCCTACATGTCTGTCTCAGTATGTGCGAAGTGTCCTTCCTGTCTATGTCAGTGTGTGCGTAGTGTCCTACATGTCTGTCTCAGTGTGTGCGTAGTGTCCTTCATGTCTGTGTCAATGTGTCAGTAGTGTCCTACATGTCTGTGTCAGTATATGTGCGAAGTGTTCTACCTGTCTATGTCAGAGTGTGCGTAGTGTCCTACATGTCTGTGCCAGTGTGTGCGTAGTGTCCTGCAAGTCTGTGTCAGTATGTGGCGAAGTGTCCTTCCTGTCTATGTCAGAGTGTGCGTAGTGTCCTACATGTCTGTGTCAGTGCGTGCGTAGTGTCCTACATGTCTGTGCCAGTGTGTGCGTAGTGTCCTGCATGTCTGTGTCAGTATGTGCGAAGTGTCCTTCCTGTCTATGTCAGTGTGTGCGTAGTGTCCTACATGTCTGTCTCAGTGTGTGCGTAGTGTCCTTCATGTCTGTGTCAATGTGTCAGTAGTGTCCTACATGTCTGTGTCAGTATATGTGCGAAGTGTTTCTACCTGTCTATGTCAGAGTGTGCGTAGTGTCCTACATGTCTGTGTCAGTGCGTGCGTAGTGTCCTACATGTCTGTGCCAGTGTGTGCGTAGTGTCCTGCATGTCTGTGTCAGTATGTGCGAAGTGTCCTTCCTGTCTATGTCAGTGTGTCAGTAGTGTACTACATGTCTGTCTCAGTGTGTGCGTAGTGTCCTTCATGTCTGTGTCATTGTGTCAGTAGTGTCCTACATGTCTGTGTCAGTATATGTGCGAAGTGTTCTACCTGTCTATGTCAGAGTGTGCGTAGTGTCCTTCATGTCTGTGTCAGTGTGTGCGTAGTGTACTACATGTCTGTCTCAGTGTGTGCGTAGTGTCATTCATGTCTGTGTCACTGTGTCAGTGTGTGCGTAGTGTGTGCGTAGTGTCCTTCAGTGTTCGTAGTGTCCTTCATGTCTGTGTCAGTGTGTTCGTAGTGTTCTTCATGTCTGTGTCAGTGTGTGCGTAGTGTTCTACATGTCTGTGTCATTGTGTGCGTAGTGTTCTACATGTGTGTGTGCGTAGTGTCCTGTATTTGAGTAGTGTGTCATGTTAAAAGGAGTAGTAAAAGGACAGGCGGTAAAACAACATATCAGAAAAAAACATGTTCCGTTAAATAGAATCGCAGTTCTAATATTGACAATAAGTAAGCTGAAACCAATACTTGTTGTTAAAGATAAATGGTGGTTTGTGACCAGTCTATTTAATCTATTATCACTAGTTAAAAATATTTCTTTTGGCGGAAATTAGGTGAATGAAGCGGGCCATGTTGGCCCTAGATTGCTCAACTGACCAATCCGAGCAATTACCTAGACAAGCATCCTGACCAAGTTTGATGATGATTAAGTAAAAAAATGTGACAACTAGAGTCTTAATAAGGTTTTTCCATATTTGGGCGGTGTGACCTAGTTTTTGACCCAAGGTGACCCTTGAGCTTTGACTGGACTTCTTCTAAAATCAAAGGAAGACATACTAATTACAAAAATTCAGCAAGTTAACGTTTAAATATATTCTGTAATCTTACACGAGTGTCTCGTGGATTCTCGTCTAATGTTTCAGTCCGGCATTTACCTCCGCGTTCATCTTGTAGATTCTTAAGATACCGCAATCCCTGTAATAGGAAATGACATAGGAAACTAAACTTGCTGAAACTAGTGTTTGGCAATTCGAACGGACATTCCTCAGAAAATAGTTTTTGGTTGAAAGAAAGGAGCTGAAGAATTTTTAAAAGACAAAATGTATATATAAAACTGAGCATATGAAGAATGAAACAAAAACAGACAAGTACTCTTTAACGTACATGTACATGTATATAGGACGCCATCTAATGCAAGTTGAATATTCAATTTCTACCAAGGTTCCCGTTCGTCCAAGGCAAAATTTCGTTAGTGCCTCTCTATTTACTGGAAATGTATAAAAAAAATCCAGAGTGAAGACGATTTGTTTAATAAACAAAATGTATCCGTTAAATGAAAATATAAAGGGAACTTAGTACTTAAGGTAGTCTTACAGTACCCTTTCCCGCCAAAAAGTTCTAACATCGGCCAATATCGTAGCAAATCGGTTATTTCCGGAACGTTATTTTTTTCAAAATCTTGGGCATTGGATTTTTTACAATCACCCATCCTTTATCGCTATGTTCTAAATTCTGGTTATGGACTATTAAAAATTAATGAGAACAATAAAGTTCCGGAAATGACCGATTTAATATTACGATATTGGTCGATTTTTTTGGCGGGAAAGCATTACAGTAAGACTACCTGAAAGTATCTGCTTCTCAACCCAAAGATCATTGACTCAATCTTTGCTGGGTTAATGGCCACTTCCCTTGTATGACATAAAAACTGGTAAGTTCCAGGCAAAGAACTCGAGAATGGATAAAACAAACTATAAGCTGTCTAAGTTTCTTTACAAGCTAGTTTAAATTAAATAAAGTTGACCTTTATTCTCTCCTCCTTGTTGCTACCAGAGCCATTCCACTGGATAAGTTTCAGACCCAAGTCAAGTATGTAGACATCTGTATTGTCTAACAGAGTCTTACACCTTGGAACCTCTTTTACTACCACTCCTTTACGGTCGCCATGGAAATGAAGAAGGCGTGGCGTGTATTCATCCGGCTGCACGTGTCTGAAACCACTGTCAGCTCCGCCTTTCAAAATCCTGTAGAAAATGACAATCAACTTTAATACATAAATGATGCAAATAAGTAGACTTTGTTATTTTACTTCTTATTTCATGGTTTCTGAACTTGTTCGTAGCTTATTAGGAGGTCTATATTATATTGAGACAATCGTTAAAGCTACGTCTAAATATTTCAATAAAATCAAACTTGTACTAAGATGTAAGAAAAAGTAAAAAGTTTCAAGATTCAAGTACTATTTTACATACTATGTACGATTAATGACTGATTTTTCAATATTTACAACATATTTCTATTGCGTTACTAACGCAGTAAAGGCTATTTATGCATATTTTGACCACTTTTTGGTGATTTACGTGGTTTGTAAGTGCCATTGATAATGTGTAAATTGCTTTCTTTTAGTTACTTTCACAATATTACATATTCAAATAAATTTTCAAAATTTTCATGAAAAATAGCATGAATCTTGTGACACGCTTAAAGTCTCAACTGATATTGTCACATCTAAGACACACTTCAAAAATAAAAGCAACATTTTGTGTTTTATTCAAACAACTGTGTCGCTGAAGACAAAAATCACTCACGTGATACTTTCGAAGTAACTTTTGAAAAGCTCGGACTCGTGACCCTGGACTTCTCGGTGTTGTATTGGAATGTCATCAAGGTACATATCCAGCTCGACGGTCTTATAGGCGGCCGTGCCGTACTCATCCGGGGTACTGTACATACCGATCCAGAAATGAACGTCATATAGCAACTCCATTGATCTCCTCTTCTTGTAGGTCTGGGGATAAAGTACTTTTTTTTCAGATCAGTTGATTATGAAATGAAATGCTTTACAACGGTGATAATAACGTGGTATGCAAAATTATGAATAATAAAAATATTGCAAACTATTTTGAAATGAAAGACTGGTCATTTTCATTTTAAAATATCTAACTTACACTCATGCATTCTGAAGCCAATGTCCAGTTATAACACTACAAAATTCGGTTAAAAAGTGAATACCTGTACATGCAAAACTAATAAACTGTCTCGACTCTTATTATAAACACTGTTTTTGTTGGTGTGTATCCCTCTTATGTTTTGCTTTTAAAGGCCAAATATTCTCTAGAAAAGCTTTTATTTTTATTTTTCAAAAGCTTTTTATTTTTGGTGTCCCGCTATCGTTTCCAAAATAATACTCATTGGCCAATTACCTGGAACATATTTTGCCTCTGTCGATTGTTGGCAATAAGCACAGCTAGAGTGATCTATGTTTTTGTATGGAGGTCAAAATATTACTTTCTTTACATTTCGCTACTTTTATGACAAATAATTTCACATTCAGCTCTACTTTTTTCAGGTGTGCTCTAAAACCATAATTTACCCAGTACAAAAGTCACTTTTGTCCGATAAAAATATTTGTTTCTGATGCATAATCTGCTTTTAAACCTACATTAAGAATGATATAAGAATCTCCATCGTAAAATTTCCCGTAATCTTCTCTTGGCCATGTTGTCACTTTCCAGTTCTAAACATTGAAAGAAAAACAAAAAGATTTCAAGCCTCAGTCAATTGCAATACATGTATGAAAACTTAATCAAATTATCATCTTCAGTTAAAAGGTTAATTTGGCATTGAGTAATTTAATCTTTTATATCAATTTGACATTCAAACCGTTAAGGTTATTTGTCGATTTTCAAGCAATGATTCTTTTCGTCGCTTTCCATCAAACTGAAAATTATTTTCAGTAATAGAGACGTTCCGCACCTGGTTAGAATCATCGACCGGCTGAGTTCTGTCGCATAAAAAAATAAACAGTTAATAAATCGTTAAATATAATCATAAAATTATACCAAAAACTAATCAGAGTTTACCACAATTCTCCAGATTTGCAAGCCGCATGTTTGTCCTGCCGTACTCCAAGCAGGTTCAAATTTTGCTGCATCCTCTGAAAAATATATGCAACTATTTACCTCATACTTATAAATAATATTCCTTAAATTGTTATTTACCAGGAAAAAAAGAGTAAAATTCTAGCATTACCAAGTATAAGTTAGTGTTTGCTGTTCAGCATTTATGAATTGAATGAGATTTTATGGAATAAATGTTGAATTAACATACATAACTCTACTTAATTAGTGGTTAAAATTATGTTTTGAATCTTAACATCTTGCGAGTATTATACGCTGATTGAACGGAATAGCATTTAATGACAATTTAGTATGGTTTAAATAAATTAAATGTACCAAAGAATTTGAAAAATGTAAATCTCTCATTGGACAAAATATACTTTCAACCACTATTTTCTCAAAATATAACTGGCTTTTCTTTAACTTGCATTATGCCGACTGTCAAGAACAGGCCTTACCATCCCATTAAAATATCAATCACATAAATCGACTGTTTCTCCGTTTTATGAATACAGACTGGCAAGCAATGGCATAATCATTTCCAATGTTTCTAGTGATAAATCCGGAGATTTGGACATTTTTCAGACTTATAAAAAGACGCAAGGCGGACCGCTGTCAAAACTTTCAATAACAGAAGAACTAACTGACCTTTCGCAATATCTCACATGCCAGAATGAAGCATCATTGGCTGGTTTGAACCTAAGAGATGGGTATTAATGCCAGTGACCTCAATCAACCGGCAATAGAAATTGCTTATTTATAGCAATTATTATATTGTTTTTTAAAAGTCAAATAATGAACAAAATTGACAAAACTTTACTCGTATCTACTAATTTCGCTAAAAGGTCACATAGACAGGACTGGTTTTAGGAAAATATGAATGCTAGAGGCATTTTATAGTACAAGTAATATCTTGAGTGTTTTAACCTAATACGGGTATGCTGAAGACGATGAGGGTGGATACCAAGAAAATAAAATTGACCTTGACCTTCAAAAGGTACAGTACTGTTTTACTAGCGCGTTAAGGTATAAGACTAAGATTGAAAAAATCACTTTTTATGTTTTGTTTACTTGACTTATATTTAACAATAAACTTAGTTTCAAACCCTTCTTTATAAATATAACCACAGAATAAATATTTCGTAATAACGAATCAATATTTCATACTGAATTTATTAATTAAGATTTTATATTTCGTAAAAAATCGAAATAATATTTCTTATTGGGAATTATTATCTCGTAAAAACGAATTCAATTCCGGGAGAAAGTGTGGAAAATGTCACTTCAGGTGTTCCGTAATTTTCAACATTATTTGTAGCTATGATTTTTTTAAGTTGTTCATTTTGTTTTCATATATTTTGCACTTATTATGGTATTTATGGTTTAAAATAAATATTTAAAAATTATTTTTGAAATGTCAAAAAATGTCATTTCAATGCCATTAACACAACACAAACCGAGACAAAAAGTGTTTTATAATATATACTGCACCCCCCCCCCCACCTCCAAAAAAAAAAACACCAACAAAAAAACAACAACAAAAAAACAAAAACAACAACAAAAACAACAAAAAACAGTAGGTCTTTAAAAAGGCAACAGTAGGAATAGAACAATAGACCTCTCACACATCAGCCAATCACTTAACTGCGGCTATATATAATCGATAATATTAAAAAGTCATCTTAAACTTAGAAGTGTATACTTTATCACATTCTTACAAAATACCATCTTGTTTAAAGATAAGTGACTATTTGATTTGAAATTTAAAGTTAAAGTTAAAAATAACAATAACAACACCATATTTTCATCGAGTCATGGAATGTCTGAAACCGGGAGATTGCTACGTGTGCTTGCTATACCATGGCAGCTCTCGAAAATTTTGAAATTCAGTCACGGTTTTGAGAAAATTCTACAAGAAGATTATCACATCATTCGATATACATTAGAATTCCGGGTACCCTCCAATAAATCTCCAGGATATCTTAAAGTAACAGCAAAGTTATCTATAAAAATATTACTTGTAATAAATCGAGTAATATTTTCTTTGACCATATATAAAAGTCACGTGGGTTGGCTACATAGTAGAGGTGTTAAAATATAATTGTAATGCCATTGAAATAGTATTTAATGTATAAAGGACTTTCAAAAATGGTTATTATTCAGAGCGGGCGCTATGGTGCAGTGGTAACACTGTCTGCCTTTAAATCAAGGGGTCGTGAGTTCGATCCCCCGCTACTCCACTGAACGAATAAATGACTACAAGACTGACAAAACCAGGACATCAACACAGAATGACGGCAACGATAGATACAAGAGAAGACCTTAAAGGAACAGGAAACAAGTACCGAGAGTACAAGATCGAAGACAACGACCGATAACAGAAGGAAGAATGGAGACAAGAACTGACAAGAAGCGAACAGAGACGAGAAAGGGACCGATAAAAGCAGAACTGACAACAAGCGAACAGAGACGAGGACCGTATACAAAAGAACAGAGACAGGGACCGATAACAGAAGAACTGACCACCAGCGAACAGAGACTGGGACCGATAACAGAAGAACTGACAACAAGACAAAGGAGATAAGGATTGATAACAGAATAACATTGTTCGAAGATCGATAACAGAGACGGGAACCGATGACAGAAGAACGGAGAAGAACGAAGACGAGAACCGATAACAGAAGAACAAAGACGACGCCCGATAACAGGAAATCAGAGACGACAAATCGGAACATGTGAAAACAAATGAACTGACACCAAGACCGATTACAGAAGCACGAACACCACGACCAATAACATAAAAACTGACAACAAGCGAACAGAGCCGACGACCGATAACAGAAAATCGAACACCCAAGAGTAGTCAGAGAAAGGTGCCTTTAATTAATGTTTATTTTGCATGCACCACCTCACACATACGCACGCTGTGCGAAAATATAAGTACGAATGTGAGTAGCCACTCTATATGCTTGCATAGAGTGCCAGATAAAATACATGAAAGCTCTATCTAGCAGATAGGGCAGGGAAGAGTGTAGTGTTCGCTGCGTAAACCCTAAATATAGGTCTCTTATGTATAAATGCCTTAAAATTTTCAGTACTTTCTTTAATATTACTTCTATATTACAATTATATTAGCCTATAGAAAATGTCCGCCATCTTGGATTATTCGGCCATATTGGATTGTTTTGGGTTTTTTTATTCTGTTTTGGTGTCTAATTTGTTTTTACCTAAACATGCTTTGTGACAAATTTCAGCCTATTCCTTTCCTTAAAAGTTTTATTTGATATATCATCCATTTATGATAAAGAAATTTGGCGGCCTTAGTAGTCCACCTTTATCGGATTCAGCATACCTTAAATAGGTAGAATACACCAAGACACCACTTGTACTACAAAATGCCTCTAGCATCTTATAGGGAGCCAAAATCTCAAAATCAGTCCTGTTTAACAAACAATAAATTAAGCTGAAAGTTAGTATACTTTTCACCAGTCTCTCAGTGTCCGATCCGAACTGTGCTAAGTTCGAGTCTTTCCAGCTATACTGCTGCTGTTTCCGAAAAACTGAAATAAATGTACAAAATGCACACGCTTTAATATCGACAGTTAATGCTCGATTATCCTCAGAAATAAATAAATAAATAAACAAAAAGTTTGAAGGAATGAAAATCGATTTATTTTTGAGTTACAAATGCATACATGTATTCTTATATTTTTAGCCTATGATTTCTTTACAAAATTCGTGTATTTATTCCAATAGGTTTACCTTTTTATTAAGTTTACTGAACAAATATATGAGCCGCGTGACGACAAAACAAACATAATGGGTTTGCGACCAGCATGGATCCAGACCAGCCTGCGCGTCCGCGCAGTCTGATCAGGATCCATGCTGTTCGCTTTCAGTTTCTCTACTTGATATAGGGTATGTAAGCGAACAGCATGGATTCTGATCAGACTGCGCGGATGCGCAGGCTGGTCTGGATCCATGCTATCGCAAACCCATTATGTTTGTTTTGCCGTGACGCGGCTCATATATAAAATATAAACATACCCATGTCTGTGACTGGTTTGTTGTTTTCACAAGGACTCTTTATTTGTATGCTGTGGATTAAAGAAGACAAAACAAACTTTGATTTTTCCACCTGTTTTTACCGTCAACCTGCTGGAACCGACTGGACTTTGCCACCAGTATAGAGCCTAAATACCCGAGCAGTCCGACCAGGCTCTTTACTGTTGCTAGCACACCTTTTTTGTTATTATTGTTATTAAAAACTCTTTAATTTTGAATAACTTCAAATCATGTATTCAAATTCAGAGCACATGTACTTGAAACAAACTATTTTTAAAATTCTATATAGGCTATATACTATAATAAGACTAGTATTATAGTATATAGCCTATATAGATCATTAAAAATAGTTTGTTACAATACCTGTGATTCAGAGGTTTGAGTTATATTAAAGTCGATTTCAAACATTGCAAAGTCGATTGCAAAGGATTTCTATAAAATAAATATAAATGAAAGTTATATTATAACTTTTATAAAAATATTTAAAAAATATATATAAATTTTATTTATTTATTTATTTTTATTGTATAAGAATGTATAAAATAATACTATTCTCAGACACATATAATAATGGTATAAAGTGCCTCTGCTGTTCTTAAAATCGCTTACACCGATACATCAAGATTTATTTGCCGGGCACCGAGACGGCCAAAAATCAGCCGGCTCTCCGCCGAACATTTCCGCCGCAGCGCTTTCCTTTTTTTTTCTTCGAAAAAAAAAAAAAAACACGACAAAGTGCCGAGTGAATATTATAAGTACAATGTGTAAGTTTAAAACAATTATTAAAATTACTTACAGTTCGATTCTACTAGAAATATCCGAAGTTTTCAAGAACGTTTCCAGTATGTTCTACTAAAGTTTGTCGTGATATCTTATTTCAAACGTATTCATTATCCCAAGAAAAACAGACCCCCTCTGGCCGTCTGCTCACCATCAAACGATTTAAGTATTGACATTCACTGCAGTATGTTTTGATCGAATTCCAAAGGATAGTCTAATTGTATTTCTAATTAAATCTATTTTAAGCGCATCCAGAATCTATTCTGAAAGCATTTGGGAATTGTCAAATATTTCGAATATTTCCTTTTGCAGGTAAAGGAAAATACTTAACGCCGCATAAAATGTAACTAACGAACTTCCAGCATTGGTACCACGTGATGTTCCAATATAAATTATTTGATTTTAGACTTATTTTTATTTTACAGATCCAATAAAGCCATACCAAATCTATATTGTACTCTATCTATCCTCGTTTTCATTTTTCGAGTCCATTTGTTCCATATTAAATTCATATGGTACTTAAATTAACTGTTTCTTTAATATTTACTAATTATTCGCTGATTTAAATTCACGTTTTAGTCATATCTCGGCGGTTGATCAACCTAACCAGCTTTACTTGATAACTAAAGAGTTCGACCCTCCAGTGCTTTCAGCGCTTTGATTATAATTACTGAAATCAGACTCAATGTCCGAGCTCATTTGTCACGTGATATTCTGCCTAAGATTTTGTATGTGTTATTAAAGATGTTTTATATATGTATATAATTATTCTTCTAAAACAAATGTCATCCAAGAATATGTTAAATATGTACTGCAAATTTTTATACACATTATAATTAAACGTTAAAATTAATGCATTCAAAATTTTATTGGCTAATAAATTTCTAATTACCTCCCTTTATTTACATGAAATGTTAAATTCGGTTATATCTACAAAAATGCTTTTTGAAACACACAATATTGATAAATCTTCATTTGAGCATCATATTTATGATACAAAACCATTAAAATTTTGTGTTACTTGGTCTTTTATTCGGCGACCTCTGGATTACAATGTTTGTCCTTACGAATTAATTAGTGTTGTGAAACAAGTGCTCATTATCACAGTGTATAAACAACTATACTTCCTGCTATAGCAAAAAAGGTTCAAGTTGACATATATATGCTCCCAAGAAAGGTACAGTGCCCTGGAGTAACAGGTGCCCGTAATCGCAAGATAGGGTTGTTGGTTGAGTACCATACTGATTTTCTTTACGTACATAGATGCCACATCGTATTACCGGTGTAACGAAATAAAGTGACCCCTATCGAATAATATCCCAAAATAATGACCCTTTTCTTTATTTAAAATACTGATTCTCTCTGCAGAAAAATGACCACCTCAGAAAATCTGTAGAAAATTTATCTCTACCCCCAATTTAATTGATCTCAATATAAAAGCTGCTGTTGTTATTGTGCAACATTAGTAGAACAATGTCCTTGACTTTTATGTGACATTGACATTTTCATTGATCTTAGATGTCAATGTTTTTATTCAAGAATATATGCAGACGTACATGCTTATTCTGTTGTTTTTATTGTTTAGTTCATGATACGCTCCCTTCGCAGCTCACTGAATACACTCGCGGTACTTCAGAAAGTGGACGAGAGTGGAACATTCGACCGATGCGCAGGAGAGTAGATTCATGAGAGATAAGGAAAAAGTGCGACATTTCTAACGCTCGCCAGCACCGTTTTATGCAGCATTCAATCCCCAACAAGTAAAAGACAAGGACCAGGGAAATACGACAGCTCTGTACAGTGGCACAAAGGTATGGTGTCACAGAGGTGACATGTTTGTATTGTGATCATTTAATCTTTGATCCACAAAGCAGGACAAATCCATCACACAAATTCTGCAGATTATGGTGGTATTTTGACATTGAAATAACTTAAAGCATGAGGCGGTTCCTATTTCAAAATAAAACAAGTCAATCACAGTGGGGTAAAGGGCATTGTCACACTACTTCAAAACAAAAATCAATCTAGTATTTAAAGATTTTAATAACATGTTAAAGGATATTTATACATAATATGCAGTTCCGGAAGTGAGTTTACACAACAGGAAGTGCTTTAACAAACTTACAATATTAATTCCAAATAAAAAAAATAGTCTTTAAACTCTGGCAGTTTAACATATAAACAAAAATAGATATCATCTTTCATCAATTTTGTCCATTCTTTGGCCACTTCCATAGAACATACAACAATACTAATCAAGCATGGCCAAAAATATTCCTCGAACTTATACAAGCTTTCATACTTCCGGGTAGAGAGTATATTGAGTAAGGAAAAGAGGAAATGAGTGAAATTGTCAGCGTTTTTAGGCAACAATACTAATTAAGCATGGCCAAAAACATTCCTCGTACTTATACAAGCTTTCATACTTCCGTGTAGAATATATTGAGTAAGGAAATGAGTGAAATTGTTAGCGTATTTAGGCAGCAAGGGCAAGGTCAAATGCTCTGGAACTTTTCTGTTCTCCAAGGCAGCAAACTGGAACAAGAGGATGGTCTGTATCTTTCAGGTAATTCTGGAAATTGAAAAACAAATAGTGTCATTCTTAGTGAAACTGTAGAATAAGAACATTCGTGCCTAAAACTTCGTACATGTATATTTATATGGCAGTTAATGAATTCAGATCAGAGACGAAAGCAGAAACAACTTGTATACGTTTAAGCTTATTATTATAATCACTCACATGAAAAGACAAACAATTGCTTTTGAAATATTTATTTTGAGACAGCTGATTTTAACAATATTTTAACTTCTTTCTTTCTATTTTTTGCTCTTTTTTTACTTTTTGTATTCTTTGGGTTTTTATTCTTTTTGATTTTAACATTGTCAATAACAAAAATAAAAATTGTCCATTCGATTATAAGGAGTGAGTATTTTTAGTAACACTAACATTATCAATTACCTCTAATAACTCAATTGTTGTTAGTCTTACTCTCATTTTATTGCAAAACGGTTTTACAATAATTTTACCTAAATATTTATTGAATACATGTACACTTATTTTGAGAATCGTTCGTATTTTGAAAAAAAAGAAATCTTACGTGTGCATATGTCATGGCGTTCCTTTTCTCCATTGTTGACGTTTTAAGTCCAATCCAAACAAAAACTGATTCCTTCGTATCCAGAATAAATACATCCTATGAAAAAGAATGACATTTGATTTTTTCTCAACGTTTTAAAACTTTGCATGAAATAATAAAAGCACACATACGATCGAAATACTTGTATATATTTCATAAATTGCTATTATCTTATTCTATTTTAACGTGAACACGGTCACGTCGTCGGTCACGTCGTCGTGACTTTGAATATATAATTCCGTTTTAAATATTTTTATTGATACTTATCCAATTTTTGTTATTTCTTTCCTATGAGAATAAAGTATAAAATACATGTTTTACGTTACATTTAAAATCAAAATGGCATTTTTATCGGCCTATGTCAAAAGACTACCTGGCATCTAAGCAAGTATACAATACTGTTTTGCCTTAACCCTGCTGTGAACTGTACTAAATTGCCCTGCTTTGAATTTGAAGCAGTCAACACTATTAAGCCATATTGAATTAACCAGATCACAGTTCAGCCACGGCATGTTCCTTGGCAGGCTGTCAAGCAGTTTACCAGTACTAGTTGCATTCACTTTCGCAAGGAACTGATATTACTTCTGTTCATGCCAGAGTAGAGGTACAGTGATTGTATGATTGTAAAAAGCATGATTCACTGTCCATTCCTCTACCAATTAAACTAACCGTGCGTTTACTGGGCGGTTGTGTAGGTTGGCCTGTATTTATACTAGTGGCAAAGGCTAATTGGCTAGTTATCCGAACCTACAATCTAATTCTACGAATAAGGCATCCGTGGTTAAGTGATTAAGGTCGCTGACTTCAAACAACTTGCCTCTCACCACTATGGGTTCGAATCTCGCCAGGGACTTTAATTCTTTCATGTGAGAAAGCTATCCGGCTACCTTACAGAACGTCAGTGGTTCTATTCAGGTGCCTGTTTGTGCCTGAAATAATGCACGGAGGGGCACCTGAAGGATTCCTACACCAGTAAGGCTGGAAAGTCGCCACATGAACTTTATTGTGTTGGTGTGACGTTAAACCTAACTAAAAAGAATTCTATAAAATGATCAACATACATTGCTGTCAAAATCTTTCTTTTCAATTTTTCCACTTTTTTCTTTGGTCATTTTCATTTTTCCGGAAGCGTCTGACAATCTGTTAAATAAAAAAGAACAATCATTGGATCACAATTCTGTACTTTAACAAGAGCTGCCACCAGTAATTCTCAGTAGACATCATTACCAGCGGACAGATTTAAGTACGATCACCTAACTCCTCACAGTGATTACCTCCCTTGGCAGATTGTACTGATAAGGGGAGATCACTGCGTAGGAGATTGAAAGTTAGCAGGAAAATGTACATTTTTTCTTATTTATAGCCGAATTTTGTCAACACTATCAAAGACCTATCGAAGTTTAATGTATTCTGTTCAATGAACGTATTATCATAATGTACCTGACGAGCTTTATAAAATCGGCAATAGTTATTCCAGCTTTATAAAATCGGACAATAGTGAGTTACTAGTCCACCTATAAATTATTCAATGCTATCAGTTTATAGCCTGCGTTAAAATCAATATATTCTGCGGTAAATTATCATGTTTCCTGAATTTATACGATTTGTAGATGAAATACACAAAAACGCTGCGCTCTTTTACCTGTAAAGCTCTGTGGTTTTATCGGCAGGCCCGGATTCCTCCTCCAGATCACCCTTATCTTCAGTCAAAGCATCATAAAACTCGTTCTAAAAATAGTAACGTATAACACATTTTAAGTTGTTTTTATGTGATATAACAGAGTTTTAAAAGAAAGGAGAAATTTCAAACCATTCCAGTACAATATCTTTAAGTTAATCAAGTGATTTTCCAAAAAGTTATATATGGTCATATAATTATAAGTTGTGCACAACTGCAACGTCAGTGCGTCACAGAATAACGTGGTCTGAAGTAAACTGAACGCTTTGAACAGCAAGTTGGGGGAGGGGGGGGCAATAAGTCTATGTTCCATTCGAGGGGGGGGGGAGGAAAATGTAATGGCAGACTGCAACAAGTATTGTTTTGATAGGTATACTTACATCAAGGTCATTAGGGTCTTCATCCAATGTTTCCGTTTTACATTTGCCGCCTCGTTCGTCTTTTAATGCTAACAGGTACTGCATTGCCTAAAATATAAAACTTAGGTTGAATGTAAGTTTTCTTAACCAATCACATCCGTGCTTTTAAGTATAATTAAGTTTAGTATTTTTAAAAAAAATGCCTATACACATATATTCGTGATAAAATTACAAAGTACTACTTTCTATTGAATGCAGATCAAATATGGTCAGCAATTTTGTGCATATCTGAGAGTAATTTGGAAATAATAAATATATTTTAAGGTTATAGCGATGCTAAAAGTAGCATCGTCTTACCGTCTTAGATGCCAACGTTATTTTCAGCAATATTTAATAGTACATGTATGAATACATCTCAAAATATTTTGGCAATGTTAAATACATCTCATGATTGTTTAGCAATGGACACTTTTAAAATTAGCTCAGTATTTCTAGCAATTAAAGTGCAAGTATTTCAGTTCTACATCTATTTAGCAACGTTGATTGATTTAACAATGCTGAGCGTGCATCAAAATTACTTACCTTATGTTTTTCGTCTTTATTTGCCCCTGACCCATTCCACTGATAGAGTTTCAAGCCAAGGTCCAGTATATATACATCTGTGTTGTCCAAATTACCCTTGTTCCTCTCTATCTGAGATACTTTCACACCATAGCGGTCACCATGGAAATGAAGAAGGCGGGGTTCATACTCTGTTGGTTTTACTTGCCTAAATCCACTGTCTGCGCCACCCTTCAAGATCCTAATTAAACAATTGCAAAAAACAGCTACAACTCAGTTTAGTGCAGTACGTGTACAGTACAACGTTTCAACAATTATATATTAATGAAACCGAAAAGTTTTTGTTTCCATTGTGGACGTGAGGTTCTGAACGTTTTTTGTTATTGGTTTAAACATTTTATTTGCTGAATGTTAAAGGTTGGAGCAAATTTTAACAACTCCAGAGATCGCTTAATTACTGGTGTCTTCTGAGGAAATATGGTGTTGACCAAACACACCAAAGTGTGGGTCGTACCCACCATTCCTGGGTGGAGAGGTATACACGTTAACCATCGCCATTTTGATGGTTTAGCCTTACCATAGAAAAAAAATCACATTGGTATGTGATGTCATTTGCATTGATGTTTTGTTTATTTATTTTATGAAAGTAAAACAAAGTTCTTAAGTGTTTGAAAATAAGAATAAATTTTTGAGTTAATAAAGGTGACCAAGGTCATCAAAAGTGTTAAAATAATGGTAAAGTTTAACTGACCAATGAGTAAATAAGACAGACTCACGTGATAGTTTTGAAGTAACTTCGGAACAGCTCGGACTCATGGTTCTGGACTTCACGGTGTTGTATTGGGACATCGTCAAGGTATGTGTCGAGTTCGACGGTCTTGTAAGCTGCGGTACCGTATTCGTCCTGGGTACTGTATTGTCCGATCCAGAAATGGACGTCGTATAGAAGTACTTCTGTACCCTCCTCTTTGTATGTCTGAAGATGAATATGAAATGATAAAATCATAATTTTATATGTGATATGCAACATAGTGAATAATTTTGAACTTTAAATCATAACGATGTCAGGCGGACAATTGTGTTGCCTTGGTTGATATAGTAAAGAAATACTTCTCAGTATAATGTATAATTGTGCTACACTCTTAAATTGTTTAAGTTTTTGACAGTTTTATTAATATATTTTTATTAAAGGCACAGCAAGCCTCAGACATGTATTATCTTCTTTAGAGAGATCAAACTTTATACTTTTTTAATAATGGGTTTACAGCACTTTAAATTGTTAACACTTAAAGTAAGTAGCTTTAAATGTGAATAATTTAAGTAAAGAAAGTAACATTAAATGTGAATAATTAAAGAAAAGAAAGTAGCACTAAATGTGAATAACGTGTCTTAAAAGTAACAAAATTTTAAACTAAATAGTATTTAGGCTTCCGTACAAAATAATAAATCACTAAAACTGCACTAAATGTCAAAATGTAAAAAAAGCCAAAGATTGTTCAGCTATAAGTACCATAAGTGGCTTTTGAGAAACTAGAAAAGGGCCCTAAAAATAATTGGGGCTGAATTTATTTTTTCGTTTCTAACAAACATAGTAACTTACGTTGAGTACAATATACGAGTCCCCGTCATAGAATTTTCCATAGTCCTCTTTCGGCCATGATGTGACCTTGAATTTCTGAAGAAGAAAAAAAAGTGAAATTTATGAATGTTCCTTTTTTCAAAATTTCTTTGATTTATTGTACAAGTTTCTATTTCAATGTGTAATTTATGGTAACAAATTCCCATAAAATACAAACCGCTTCTGAAGTGACGTTTGAATTTATTGCGTCAAGATAAATAGAAAGAAAACAATTTCTACAGCAAAGATATAACAATCTTCAAAAGTGAGTTTGATTTCGATCAGCTTCGTCAGTTTACGTACAGGCAATATTATTATATTTTCCCTGATTTGACACGGACGCAAAAACGGCTCATAACTATTTTTTTTCTAAAATACGAGAAGCGAAAGTAGTGTACATGTTCAGAAAGAAAATAAATCATGTCCCTAAGAAAAACTGTTGGCTTACAAATACTACCTACCACAATTCTCCAGATCTGAAGCCCACATTTTTGTCCCACATTTTTCCAGGCAGGCTCGGTTTGAGCTGATTCCTCTGTAAAATAATAATAAAACGTAATCTAGATGGACTGACTGCTTGAAAATACCCACCCCTCTTAATCATTGTTGCCGCTGATCGAATCTGTACTGGACCATTTAAGTTATTTCCTTTACATGTATATGTACCAGAGTCACAATAGCTTCTGACTGCTGGCGGCAACCGAATATACCTATGCAACCAGTATAGACCAATACCAGCTGGCACGTATATGCCGTCTGCACTGCTCGCTATTCAGTCAGGCCATACACAAAATGATCAATGGTTTTGGACAACTTCATTTAAGATATTTAGCGAGGTTTAGTGTTTAAGACGATTTTTATAATGTACTTTATCAGGTACATTTATCATCTATACAAAATATTTATTATTAAGTTTATATCAGGTGGGAAAAAGTTGTTAAATTTCGTCAACTTCCGCGTTTAAGAGAGGGTGGGGGTCGCTTTGTGCACCCCATGCTATCACGCTACCAATTGAACATATTAAAAGTTGTACGTACAAATTAAAAATGGTTCTAAGATCTCTACAAGACACGGAAATTATCGAATAGTGTCTAAATTTCACGATGTTTTCACAAAATGTGTATTATCATAAGTGACATGATTATCATACACGCATTTAAGTACTTCCCTGTCATGGTTATAATTATAATGCTTAATAAGATTCAGTTGCAGATATATAATTTTATAGGCTTACTGGAAAATATTTATTTTCAAGACAGTATTTAAAGAATCTTTATGAAAGTTTTTCCAAATATTTTTGTTACAGGTTTACACCAGAAATTAGCAAAATAGATAAATTTATTGACCATTGAATTAAAAGGACACTAGCATTTGTCGGTTTTTATTTCGACTGACATTGTAAACAGTGAATATATGACCCATGCGAACTAGGGTACAACTAATGTGATTATGAAATCATCGGCCAGTTGTGATTTATTTATTTATTTTTACCCAACCCACACTGTAAAAAGACGTTAATAATTCATGACCAATCACCAGTAAAACATGTTCTTGAAAATCAGTATCTTTATATAATCAGTATTCATACAATATAGCATGAAACTATAAACAGAAATTTTCCCCAACTACCCATATAAAATTTACAAAATATCATTCTTTTGTATAGTAAACGTGTTTTATTACCTTTGAAATAGCTGGACAGCATATTAAGCTATATCAAACTCATAAAAAAACTTCATAGGCCAATAAAGATTGTCAAGACATGTCTGCTTCCGTAAATACAAAGTTAGTTGAAAATGTAACTTACTTTTGACCTGTCGTTCAGTGTCCGACCCGAACAGTGCCAGGTTCGAATCTTTCCAGTCATATTTCTTTTGTTTTCTTAGAGCTGCAGAAAAATAGTAATAAATAAACGTTTAATACATGTACGACGAATTTGATTTTCAATATAAATTTTACTTCTTAATTTGTTTATGTCATCTCTAAATGTTCTTAAACAAAATAAGTTTGGGCTGTATCACTATAGAAGTACATTTTTAACGAGTCTTCTACCATACCTGACTAAAAAGTTTCTTGTCTAGAACCAACATTTTGTTTTCCTCACGCTTTATCAACGGGCATATCTTCGGCCTATTCCGCCATATTACGGTATAATCGAGAGACTTGTTGGGGGAAGGGGGCGGAGGGGTCGGTCTTACACATTTTTTAAGTAGTGCAACACTTAATTAGACCTTTCTGACTTTGTCTTTGTTAACTGTTTTCACTTCATGTATTTATTTATTCACGGTGTGTTTTGATATAAAATTAAATACGGATGTGACAAAAACTATTTGGAAAAAGCACGTCATGTGCCATACTTTTCATGGACTTAAATACAAGTCATTGTTATTCAAAAGAATTGAAATTTTATATATAATCTTTGACATTACATTTTCAAATAGCGGTAAATAGCTTCAAATACGCAAAATTAACAAAAAAAAAACAGACAAAGAAGTACTTATAAAGTTTTGAAGGAAATTTAAGAAGCGACTTTGTTTGCATTTGAAATTAAAGTTATTTAGACAAAAAATATTCCCTTTTCTACTTCCTCAATATACATACTTTATAATATGATATATACCCTTGAAATAAATAACTAACTTTAATAGGATATTTCCTTAGTACGGTACTGATTTGTGCCCTGACGATTTTTTTTGCTCTACAGGGCCAACATTTTTTCGTACTTTCGCTGCGCTGGACAAAAATGCAAAAATTACGAAAATATGACGCAGTCAACATTTTGTCGTACTTTCGCTCCGAGAAGCGAAAAGGCGAACACACAATAATCAACCATCAAGCTTAGAGAATAAACATGACCGTCGACTAAGTACGGAATGCCGTTAGGGCCATCGCCTATGAATGTGTTGATCTAAAACGCGATAGTCGATAGTACGATGGTGAAAACGCGAAATCACGAAACTACGATGGTGAAAACGCGAAAGCACGATGATGAAAACGCGATAGTACGATGATGAAATCGCGACAGTACGATACTACGATGATGAAAGCGCGATAAACTATCGTGTTTTCACCATCGTACTGTCGCGTTTTCACCATCGTAGTTTCGTGATTTCGCGTTTTCATCATCGTACTGTCGAGTATCGCGTTTCAGATCAAACCATTCATAGGCGATGGCCCTAACGGCATTCCGGAATGCCGTTAGGGCCATCGCCTATGAATGTGTAAATCTGAAACGCGATAGTCGATAGTACGATGGTGAAAACACGAAATCCCGAAACTACGATGGTGAAAACGCGATAGTACGATGATGAAAACGCGATAGTACGATGATGAAATCACGACAGTACGATGGTGAAAACGCGATAGTACGATGATGAAAACACGACAGTACGATGATGAAAACGCGATAGTACGATGGTGAAAACGCGATAGTACGATGGTGAAAACGCGATAGTACGATGATGAAAACACGACAGTACGATGATGAAAACGCGAAATCACGAAATTACGATGGTGAAAACGCGACAGTACGATGGTGAAAACACGATAGTTTATCGCGCTTTCATCATCGTAGTATCGTACTGTCGCGTTTTCATCATCGTACTTTCGCGTTTTCATCATCGTGCTTTCGCATTTTCACCATCGTAGTTTCGTGATTTCGCGTTTTCACCATCGTACTATCGACTATCGCGTTTCAGATCAACACATTCATAGGCAATGGCCCTAACGGCATTCCGTAACTAAGTACTACGAGTGATTCAAAGAAAAATATGAAACCAATTGTAAAGATCAACAAGGAAGTGCGGCATTCAGTGAACACATCTAATGACAAAATAAAACAAGAGCAGAAATTAACAAAAAGGAATATAACTTTCAAGTCACCTTAGCGCAACAACTGATTAACTCCTATTAAATTTAGAAGAACTTATTCCGTTACTGCACTAAGGTGACGATATGTTATAGTTATGAGTCTTAGAAAATGGGCAAACATTTTGTAAGCTCACAAAGGGTTATTTTTTTTATTATTATTTAAAATCCATGTCAAGAGTTATGGGCCTTGGACAGTGACCTTCAATTATGATCCTGAAGACATGTATGAGGTTTCAAATGGGTACCTTCAGTAGCATTGAAGATTAATGTTGAATATGTCTTGCATGTGCCCTCCAATATTGGTACAAAAGTCATAATATGTTAAATGCAAAACTTTAACCAAAATTTTTCAAAAAAAGTAATACATGCCGGAGTTATGAATCTTGGAAAGTCACCTCCAATTATGATTTCAAATACATGAAACGATTTTCTTGGCTGACGAGATAATAAAATCGTAAAAACGTTGCACGTGAATTTTAAGCGGACGCAAACGACGACACACAGTTGAGAAGGGAAGGACAACTATCTTTGAATAGTCGAGCTAAAAAGGAAGTTTCAGAGACATACTCTATCTAAATGGCACGATTTTTTTCATTTATATCGCAAGAGTCTTGACCTATCAAATACAGTAATCAAATATTTTATTTCAAAACAAGAATACAGCAGCCTGTAAAACATTGGAGTCCTAATTTCGATATACATGTATTTACTATGAAAACCCTACTGTCAAGTTTCAATATAAAACTGTTTTCAATACGAAGATTATAACATTCCATTTTTTGTTGTTCTTAAACGTGACCGTGACACAATTCTATTTATTGAACAGTTATTTCACCTGACCTCGACAGGAAATTAACAAACTACAATAAAATGAGCTGCGTCACGACAAAACCAACATAACGCGTTTGCGACCAGCATGGATCCAGACCAGCCAGCGCATCTGCGCAGTCTGATCAGGACTCATGCTGTTCGCTTACAAACCCTATAACAAATAGAGAAACTGACAGCGAACGCAGGCTGGTCTGGATCCATGCTGGTTACAAACCCATTATGTTGGTTTTGTCGTGACGCGGCTCAAATAAATATGATAGCCCGATAACGTGAGAGTAAATCAATAAGTCACGTGATTAACAGCTTTGGATAATCGATAAGGTATTTCAAATACCATAGATTCTTGCAAAATTCCAAATTCTTTCATACTAAATATATATAACATAAATTTCAAAGTTTGAACAAACGGTACGTGACTTTAAACATATAAATTGAACAGTTAAAAATTTGAAATACAATAGATTCTTAAATGATAATTAATAAAATAAATAATTACCCATTTTTACTTTTCCTTATTCTTCTTCAGATGACTTCCTCCTTAAAAAAATCAGAACATGTAATTTTATTGTATTTCAAAATGGTCTGGTTCACATGACATTCCACGAATGTAATTCAGCCGGATTCGAGGAAAGCGCTGCTAATAAGGAACGCACAGGCTATCATATCAGATTATATCACGTGACCAGCGATTCCTATTTAAATTAAACACGGAAGTTTCCAAAATTAAGTAAAGGAGATAAAAAGGATATTATATGTTTTTCTTCTTCACTTTTGTACTGTTCATAAGTGTCCATGGCGTGTTTTAAAGTTCTGGGTACATTTATAGCATGATTATTGCAAAAAAATGTAATAAAGGTAACGCGGATTTTATGATAAAGGACTTATGCTAGAAAAGGTGCACATTGCACCAAACTGTAATAAATTGAACGCGGTTTTGGGGATGAAAGTAGCCAATTGTGATCAACGTTCAAACTGTTTTTCACAAAACTGTAATAACTCATCGACACGAGTTTAATTTCTATTGCAAACTGTAGCAACCTAGTTTTACCTACATGTACATTACTCATTGGTGCTTCCTTTGTCGACTTCCGGTATTTTAGTTTCTCGCGTAGGTTGACACATACGTCAATTTATGCGTTGTCATAAACAGAAGAAAAAGCTTCATCTTTATTATGCTCCAGTTAACCCAGATATTCATACATGTATGATAACAGATAAAAAGTAGTTCTCTATCGTTAAGTCAACATTACTGTTAACATTTCACTAACGTTCTCTGATAAAAAGAAACGAAAACATTTAGAAATCAAAGGGCTGCAGCTCTAAGGTATTTTCTGATTTTTGCAATCTAAATCATACTGACTATCTGTATGTACTTTCCTGTATAAGTTTATTTTTATATACTATAATTCATCTTACGCAGCGACAGCGTTTTGATTTTCTTCTATAACAGTTTGAGATTGATACATATGGAATTTTGCATGAAAAAAAAAATAGAATTGCCTCGACTAGGATTTGAACCATAGGCCTCTCACACCCTCAACAAGACCGCTTACCTCTGCACCATGGCGAAGTAATACATATGTACCTTGAATTAAAACGAATACATTATGATATTCTAAATTGAGAATTTCCATTTCGTGTTTGTAATCCTTATTAATTTCGAGGTATTTTGTTCACGATAAACCTGTTGTTAACCACTGATGAAAATAATTTAGCGAAAATCTTCTCGCCAAAACAGTCCGGCATGTACAAAATAGAGGATATTGAATGAGTGTAAGTTCAATACTGAATTTATTGCACGAGTTGAATAAAATTATATTATGCGAGCCTCTGGCGAGCATAATATTATTTTATTCAACGAGTGCAATAAATTCAGTAATGAACTTACACGAATTTAATATTCTATTTATCACATACCCAAAATAAATACCGTTTAAAGTGAAATAAGAGTCATTTTTCATTGACGCGCCTATAGTATAACGCTAACATTTAGCGCGTCTTTACACTATGTTTGTATAACGCTAATGACGTCACGTCAAAATATATGCACGGCCGTGCAATACCATTTTTACGGAGCCGCAAAATCGGCACGGGTGTGTGATAAATGTATATATTACACTACTTGACAGTGTACTACGCTCTGGAGTATTCGGTAATCGACATAGCTTAAAATAGCATTTTCATTGATTAAAATGATATTCATGATAATCCGAAGCTTTACGGAAATAGCCGAACATTTTTCATTGGGTAAAAAAGATATTCATCCGCGAAATTTGTGATTGTAACCTGATATTTCTGTTGACTAATCTAAACTTTTAATGCACTGTAATTCGTTAAATGCCTACATTAAAAATTATTCTTTCTTTTAAATTGCTGGTTTTTAAGCAATTTTGAGTGAGAACTACTTTGCGTTGTTAGGACTGTGAGGAAATTTTGTGTTAGACCGTGGATGTTAGCTATGTATTTACTGATCTTACGATCAGAAAATACAAAAATACAAGGGTATATAGGAACATGAAACCCTATTTAAATATTTATAGGGTCGCGAAGGCCTACATAAAGACAATAAGGGCTATATAACGATATACAAGAGTACATGAAAGCAGACAATGTCACATAAATCCATAAAAGGCTATGAAACGATATAAAAGGCTATATAAAGATACACAAGCGTACAAGAATACAAAAATGATATATTGATACATTTAAGACTATGAAAAGATATAAAAGGCTATATAAAGATAATTATACAACATTAAGACAAAATGATATAATATATTATAAAGACCCTAAAGGCAATGAAAAGATATAAAAGGCTATAAAATATACTAGAGTGTTTGAAAACAAAAATGATTTATATGCATTAAAGGCTATGAAAAGATATAAAAGGCTACGTAAAGATATACAATATACAATGATATAATTATGACAACATGAAATGATATTTAAATGCATCAAAGGCTATTAAAAGATACAAAAGGCTATATAAGATATACAAGGACATAATTATGAAAACATGAAATGTCATATAAAGACGTTGAATGCATAATAAAGGTATAAACAGGCTCTTTAAAGATATATTTTTATAAAATGACATACATAATGTCTATAAAAATACTACAAAATGCATTAAAGGCTATAGATAAGAAAATAAAAAGGCATTTTAAAAGCTAATTTTAATGGCAGGTATATTCTGTATGATGCACATAGATTTAAAAAGAGGGCTTACTGCTACTTGATACCAAGGCTGGTTTTTGTCTCTAGTACTCACTGGCGTTCGGCACATTTGTCTTAGTCATGTCATCATAGAACAATCTCCCCTTGATCCTCAAGAACAAAATGACTATCCAGCACCCGTTTACTATATCTTTTGTTCGTGATAATCAAGGGGAGATTATTTTTTGATAACTTGACCATTCTTGGCAAACGCCTTTACAAAAGACCGGTAGTTTAATTCGGACACCTGCGTCTGTCTACATTAATGTACAGAAGAGGGCATATGAAGTCACCCTGTATAAAGTCGCCATATGACCATAACAAAGGTCAAATAACATAAAAAGCCAAAACAAACCAATTAATAATTAAAGGATATTCAAGTAGCCATGAGTGAAATATGATAATTTTCATAGCACAAGATGAAAATGAATCCTGTATTTATAGAAAAAAAAACTAGAATTTTCGGTTTATTGTATACATTTTTCTCTTTTTTGACATCCCAGTTTGAAAGGTTTTCCCTTAAATTTTGTATATTGGCTGAATTAAGCAGAAAGTAGTCCGCCAAGACACCAGTGAAAATACAGAAAATATGATTCACTGCAGTGAAAATACGGAAAATGAAAATACGCATTTTATTTCATGAATATTTCTCAATATTTATTTTATAAGTATATAATAATAATTTTAACTTAGTATCTAGGTTAAGGTCTAATGAATACAATGTTGAAATTATCGAGCGTGAAGATTATTTTGCATATAAAATTCAAGCAGACTGAATCGTAAAACAATCGAGAAACATTATAATAAGTATGGCGTCATACAAATAATAAAAAACATAAAATGTAAATTATATGAAAATTAGTGAAACAATATACTCGTCTACAATACGTTTTTATTCTATATATACAGTAATGCATACATGTTGCATATGTAAAGGATGTTGAATTTATCACTGCATATTTATTCAAGTATAAATTTGTATACACTAAGCAATTTGCTATTTCCTTTTGATCCTGATTTTTATCTATTTTAAAGCTGAGGATATTTAGTCATAACCTTTAAAGGTCATTGCCTGTGATAAATAAACATGTATATACATGTATGAAAAAATGGAAAATTGATAAACATTTCAAAATTATAAAGTAATGTAAACCACTATTTTCAGGTAAACTGTGTATCGTAAACTAAATGAAAGTCCATGCATACATGAAAACGGCCAATTGTTTAGCATGCAAAAAATATTCAAGCTTGTATACTGGTTAAATGATCTCGTGACTGGTCAAATGTACTATAAACCTGATAAACAGAGAAACCAACAGAAATAAAATAGACAGAAAAAAAACATTCTAATGGACTTTTTTATAATAATTAAACGATTAACAACGAAAAAAAGTCACTCACCTGAAAATGCAGTAAATCGATCCGAAAAAATGATTTGTTCTTCAACAGTACTTAGCAGTTAACAGTAGCTTTGGAAGTAAAACAGTAAACAAGTACCACTTCGGACTAGTTCCTATCTGAAGTAAGCCTCAATAAATGTAATCAATGTGTGTGTAAGTCGTCAATATATAAGGTTTACAGTACTTTAAATACACTCATTGTCACGCATGTTGGTCATCAAATACCTTCACCGCTATTTACGTAGATAGCAAGGGTATCAGACGAGATTAATACGTCTTGCAAAATAAGTCGTGTACATGTCTAGATAGTTTAAAATAAATATAGTACTATTTTGAAAGTACGGTGTTTATTATAACCGTATATTTCGAAATGGTAGCATGTTATTTTAAAATTAGTTGCGGTTAATCGAGCGGGCTATTACATTTAATTTTTTTTCAATGAGATTGCAGTAAAAACTTTATATATTACAACTATATAATATTTATATATTACAATGTTATAATTCAATTTCATACTGTATATCTTTTCATCAGACCGAGCCTACAACATTTTCATGCGTTCATTGGGGATTTCGTATCTCTTTTAACTGTCTTTTAAGTTAAGTTAATAATTTATTAATTTTTAAACGCTAGGTTTTTCCCCGTAATTATTAGGGTGACTCATTTTCGTCAATATTGAAATTATGACGCCAGGCTTCCAATCCTAAAATTTTAATGTCTATATACATGTATAAAGCCGGCGTTTTCGAGGAAATAATGTATTTTATTGACAGATAGCTATCATTACATTTATATTTAGTTTCCACACAATTAAAGTGCGTGCATTATTCAAGGAAAGTTATTTGTGTCATAAAATCATAAATGATGTTTATTTTACCAGAACGTAACATGTTCATAAGGAAATGGCCACTATCAAATCATTGACAATTCAAATAATGTGATATCGCCAACATGTTTATTATCAAGTGAGCCGGCTGTTTCAGGAAGTCGAAAGATCATGTTTGGCCAACGTGTCCGGTTTCACCACGCACAGCAAATCATATTCATGAAGTCGAATATTTATCTTTAATTCTAATTTCGCTGATTGTAGTATAGGAACTGTCAATTGTTATAGTTATTTAAGGTTTCTGCGAAAAAAGCTCACTAAACGATGTACGGAAGATTCCACATACAATCAGGCTCGCGCGTTGCTATAGCAATATTTCCAATTAGAGATATTTCCAATTAGAGGATTTAATATTTAATTCAATAGATCAAATGCTGATAATCTCATCAATTAATTTCCTCTCGTTAATTAGCTGGTAACACCGTATTAAGGAATAATATTGTTTACTTTTTTGAATAATTGCTTTGCCTGTAATGAAGTTCACAGCACGTTTTTCTCATGTCCGTCCGTATGTCAGTCTTATGTTCAATCGGTTTTGGTTTATTGTCTTAATTTCTAACACATTTTTTGGTTGGGTTTTACGTCGCACCGACACACAGTATATGTTATATGGCGACTTTCCAGCTTTATTGGTGGAGGAAGACCTCAGGTGTCCCTCTGTCAGTCTGTGCATTATTTCAGGCACAAACGGGCACCTCAGAAGAAACACCAACGTTCCATAAGTTAGCTGGATAGCTTCATTACATAAATGAATCAAAAGTTTCTGTCGGGACTCGAACCCACTGCGGTTATGGGCAAGTGGTTTCAAGTCAGCGACCTTAACATCAACCATTCAGCCACGGACACCCCCCCCCCACACACACACACTAGCACAGTTAATAAAACAAAGAAAATGAACCATACAATGTACAATGATATATCTATGCGACAGCTGGAATAATATGCAATGATATTTGATAAAACCTGGCCATTACCACGCGTGATCTATAGATAACACCGATATACCATCTTTGACCTATGTTTTCTTGTTAAAACTATCTTAATATAAAGCAATTGATATCAGGTTATTTAACTAACAAAAATAACTGTACACTCCACAGTTTTTCCGCTGCATGGTTATGAGAATAAAATAAATCTGAATAAAATGACATTTATGCTACAGTCTATTGTAACCACGCTCCTGCAACCCTGGGGGGGGGGGGGGGGGGGGGGTAGTTAATGGCATAGCATGGGAGATGAGCCAAGCAGCTGTACACACGTCGTTGCGAGGTCAATGTGGTGGCTTTGTTTTGGCGGAAAGCTTTTTATTTTTGGTGTCCTGTCAGGATTTGGTGGAAAATAAACACTGGTAATACAATGTATAGCTGAACTATCTTTTGCTTATAAGACATGATTAGTAGTTATTGTGAATTTTATTTGTATGGAAGACAATATACCACTTTGTTTATTGGTCCATTATGCCCCAGAAATGCTATACTATCATTTTATTTCGCAAAAAAAATCTTTAAATTTTAATTTTTTTTGTATCTTGTTACAGTTTCCAAAAAAATACTAATTTGCCATATATCCAAGAACTATCTTTGCTTTGTTTGCATTTGGTATAATTATAGTGAATTAGTATTTCGTATGGAAGTCAACATACTACATTGTTTACATTTTGCCACTTTTATGACACATTTAGCGCTGCTTTCTTCAGTTATTAAACATCTAACATGCTCTAAATCCATTATTAGAACATTATTAAAAAACATGTTCAACATTTTTAAGTAATTTAATAAAGATGGATTTTTTATGCATAATGTGCATAATTAAAGTTTTGCTCCTATTTTGACACATAATTTTAACTTCAACGTTGCTTTTTTTTGACATGATAAGCCTCCATTATGCTCTATAATCTTTATTAACGCTATTAAAAGTTTTAAAACCTTTCAAAACATAATATGACCCCTTTCCGAAAGACATATTCATTTCTAAAGCTTAATAAATAAGCCTTCTTATATGGTCTTATCATTCAAACTTACACTACAGAAAGCAGCATTTCTTAACAAAGAACCAATCAAATAACAGTTATTTATATAAACAAAACAACAGCAAATATGCAATAATTGATAATTTTAATATCACAAATATGACATAGCTTTTACAAGAAATAATAATGGTACAACAATTACTATCAAATCAAAAATGAAAAATTTAAAACAACAGCTAAACCCATAAACAAAACAATTTCTTTTCAATAAACGATTCATTTCTATCAAGCTTAGAATTGGGTAGTGAAGGAAAATTTGAATTTATTATACATAATCTATATACAATTTAGCTTAATATGCAAATTACAAAACTTAGTTCATGGCATTATCTCAAAAGAAAATTCAAAAAGAGGAGAAATAACTCTGGAGAATAATAGGCATTTAACATAAGGGAGACAATTCCAACCATACATAATGCATTAATTCCATTGCTTCCTTCCCTTGCATTTATCTGTTGCAAAAAACAAAACAAACTAATGTCTACCTAATACCTAATTTTGTAATATGCTTTATTTCAAATATGAAATAAGGCAAACCCTATGAACGGTGAAGTTATTTAAAACTAGAACTGACACTGAAAATTTTATTGATAGGTATAGAATTCTTAATATTGTTTGTTTTTATAGCCGAGCAAGCCAAAGCCAGGACCCGCTTCACAGTCACCCGGCCTTTGACTACCCCGTATTAATATTTTTTACCCTTAGCCAACAGATTTTACTCATGTAACCTTTGCAAACCAAGATCCCCAGGCACTGTCCGCTATTCTATCAGTATTTTGAAATTTTCCCTAAGATGATGAATGGTTTTGTCCAGATTGAAAGATGGACAAGTCCATTTAAGATATTTAGTGAGGTAAGGGTTATTACATTCCTGCTACAATCATTATCAATAATCATTGATAGAGCTTTAAACTAGAATACAAATGTGCATTTATTTGATAAACTTTGGATTTGAGAATAAAAATATTTCATTGGTTATATAGTTCTATGAGTGTACAACATTTACACTGATAATGAGTGCAAAATTATGATCTAAGCAAAACAAACTGACGGTAATTTTGTTAAATAAACGTGAAAAAAAAATGCACACAAAATAAATTCCACTAAACAGCAATAAAAAAAATCTATATTCTGTGATACTTAATTAGTAATTTTTCCACTCTAAATTTCATTTAATGTTAAGTTAAAACCCATATCCCACTGAAATTGTATAATAGATTTGCCCTGTTTTGAATTTAGAACAGTCCATTCAAAGTTCAAGGGATTTCAATATTATAATACAAAATTTTAAGCTACTAACACTATATTCTTTTCAAAGCATATTTCATTGTTGCACTGTACAAAGAAGTTCATAACTTCTCTTAATAAAAAGAAACAAGAGATAAATAAATATAAACTCAACTGCACCAAAGTTTAAAAAAAAAAGAAAAAAGATTTTAACAAAAAGTCACAAGTTCCTGGCCTATGGCACTAAATTGATCTTCATTTACATCTTTTATAACATACATGTATATATAACGTTTTTAAGTATAACTTAACTTATATTCAAATTGATAAAAAACAGTTTCTGATCCCACACATGAAAATATGCACATTTATAAGTCCCCTTAAAACGTTACTTATAAATATGAAAACATGAAAAATCTGAGCTACAAATTTGTTCTTACAATTAAAAATGGTTTCAAACATAACTTATCAAACAGACAGGTTAGCTTAACGTTTAATAAATGCTATTTCTACAACATAATTGGGCTAACATTTTGGTTTGCCTTGATATAAAAGTACAAGTCATATCTCATGAGTGTTGGTTGGGTCTTTGCTTTAAGTAATAATAAGTCATTGCCAATGACGTTTACCCGCCTGTTAATATTAGAATTTTTATAATCAAGGCTAATCTACGAATATTCTTAGTAACATGCAGGCAATTTTAAAGAGCCATCATTCTCCTGATTTCATCTCACACGCAACAAATGATGATTTTAATCACATGTGTTCCATCCAGGATTCAAACTTGACAGTGATGATGAACAAGTTAAAAAGAGGCCAGTGACCTTATAACCACTAGGCCACTTAGTAGTGATCATGAACTAGATTTTAAAAAAAATAATTTCCTAACTTAGCACTTTAGATATAAAGAAATGATTGCAAACTAGCCCAAACATATACAAAATGATTTGGTTGATCTACAGGGTAAAAGCAATGAGTATTATAATAATGTCATTTCATCATTATCAAACGTAACCAAGTTACGAATGACAATAAACAACAATGCAACAAAATATGCAAGCGAGGAATTCAAGGCATTTACTAGTTAAATATTTTTTCTAGGTTACACCATGTGTTCCAATATAGCTAAAGAAGGCATAATCTAATGTGGACTAAATGGCTCAAACTAGAGTAGATCATTCCAATTTTTTTTTCAATAAATCAAATGAAGCCAAAGTGACATCAACTGGAGCCAAAGTGACGCCTGTTAAACCAAAGTGACAACAGACAGTAACTGAAACCAAAGAGATATCAACAGAAGTCAAAGCAATATTAACTGAAGCTAAATAGACATTGACTGAAGTCATAGAGACATCAACTGAAAACAATGTGACATCAATTGAAGAAGTGAAACCAAAATGACATCAAGTGAAGCCAAAGTGACATCAACTGAAGCCAACGTGACATCAATTGTAGCAAAAGTGTAGGAAAGTGAAGCCAAGATGGACACTTTGGTATCATTTAGCAATCTCTGTGCCATGTTTCTAGGTGGGATTTCAACATAAAAGGGCAAGACAAAACAAGTTCTGGCCAGTCTAACAGCTATACAGATGTGATATTATCATCAGACTTCTATTTATTATGAATAACCCTCTAAATTATCGTAATAATCGATATTCATTCATATATCTACTAATCTTTACATGAAAACTTGCCTAAAAATTACTGACCATTATAATCATATAGAAATGCGATACTCCATCCAACTACAGTTTCCACGATATAACTGAAAACTTTCATTAACACATGAAGCATAAACATAAAACTGGAATGCATTATAAACAGCACTTTTGCAATAAAAAGATTGAAGAAAATTGAAAATTAAGCTTAAATTTAAATGAAATCTGTCAAATATATATTACCTTTAAAAGAGGAAGGTAAAGGGACAAAAAAAACAACTAGTATTTACTAGTATTTGTACAGTACTTTTAGTCCTATATATTCTCAAAGACATCATATATTTTTATTACAAAACATAAGAAGGGAATGATTTACTCATTTACTTATTTCTCATTTCAAAAACTTCTTAGTCTTGAAATTAATTTCAGAAAAAAGCCAATAAGTATATAAGAAAGATGTCAAAATACAGATTGTGTTTACATATTTCATCAGCCAGCGATCCCAAATGTTCTGTAATACACTGGTATCATTCATAAGTCAGTTCCTGACGCTTTGTTAACATTTGGGTATGTTTCGTACATTAAAATGAGTATTAGGCTAATAATCATATAATTATTAAATCTATGGCATTATGGATGCATTTTTCACCAGAAATTATTTACATTAAATAATAAATGGTTATTAATTGATGTTGCAGTGACATAAATGTACCTTTAACATTAAGAGTGCTTGTTTTATGTAAGAATCTTTGTCAATACCCACTTAAGAACATAACAGTCAATTAAGAAGCATTTTCCGTTTGTGAATATTTAACAAGTAGAGCTCTACCAATAAATTGTCCCATTCAAATCACTCACTTTTGGTTGGCATATTACTATTTGGCTAAGATTTGTGACTAAAAAAAATTTTAACAAAAACCACACTGCTTTTAATACATCGCTCACTATTCATTGTTACATTGTAACAATTTACATCAAGTGAACAGACTAACCCAATAAATCTTGATAAAAAAAAATTATTTCAATTTATAACTGTATCAAGAAAGGGAAAAAAAAGAGAGTAAAAAAATTGGTTCATCTTTAATAATACATTCTTTTTCACTCATTAATAAATAACACTCCTCCTCTTTCATACAATAAACACTCTCATACTAACATTGTGCCAAATATGTAAATATAATCTATTCATAATTATAATCTACAATAATTTATACATATTTTGTTCTATGAACCCACGCAAAATAGGAATTAAATGAAAATGTTTAGAAGTCACATTAATAAGGGACCTTCTTAAGCTTTAATAACAAAAAAAAATGGTAACATTTTCTTTTATAGAAATACTGATGTTTATCAATCTGCCATGAAATAAAGGTTAAAAAGTTCACAGACCCTTAGGAAATGAAGTAATTCTTAGTTTAAACATCATGGGACAGAAAACAGTGTGTAATGGAAAAATTACAGAGTGTAATTCATCATTTACAATATGTTATTCAACAATTACAGTAATTCAACAATTACAGAGTGTAATTTTACAATTACTAACACAAACTTACAGAATAGGCCCTAAAAATCTATACCATATAATTATAACCTTGGAAAAAAACTCATTCAGGTTAAATCATCATAAAAAATCTACTTTTTATGACAAATACAGGAAACTTCTTCACACAAACAATCTAATTATCGTTCAATTAACACTAATTCTTTGGAAAATGTTCAACAGTAAACTAGTCTTCAATGAAATCAAACATGGCAGCGAAGTGCACCATTCAATTACTAGTATAATGATGATTTTTTATATCATAAAAATGTGTTTTTTTAAAATTCTTAAATGACAATTCTGGCAAATTTTCTATTCAAGAATGATTTCTCAAGTTTTAAGACAACTTTATTATCAGGTAATACAGCTCTGTAAACTTCCTCTAGTTGGCTTTTCAACCCTGTTTTTGTCAAATGAAGTATTTCAAGAGCTAACTTGGCAAATTTGTGTTTCATGCAGACTGTATCCCAGCTTTTTTTAGTATGGATGATGAAATATTGCTGTGAAATGACTGTATAGAAATGACTGGTACCCAAACTTTAATGACCTTTGGAATGCTGTATCAACCACTGTAATGTGATGTCTGAAATGGAGGAATAGTGAATTATATTTTGAGTAGGTTTATTACATTCACAAATATTCAACAAGTGTTCTAGAGCAAATGTCGTACTTTGTCATATTTATTAGTGTTACTGTATTACATTAAATTTTAACAATTACATTCTGAAGTGTAATAGTAATTTCACAGAGTGAACTGTAATTGTAATTTCGCCAAGTGAATTGAAATTGTAATTTCACTAAGTGAACTGTAAGAGTAATTTAACAAAGTGAGCTGTAAGAGTAATTTAACTAAGTGAACTGTTATAGTAAATTGACTTAGTGAACTGTAATAGTAATTTCACTAAGTGAACTGTAATAGTAATTTCACTAATTAAACTGTAATTAGCTTTTAACCTACTGATTTAAGTAATTGATTTGATTTATCAAAATATAGCTACCAACAGTATAGAGCCTGATTTGTAGGCTAGCCTGACTGGTAGCAAATGCTGAATACTTTCAGTTTTAACAAGTAATTTAGTTCAGGGATAAATGAAGAAAATTTACCTTTTATTTACCTGAGACATACATACATACTATTATTTATATGGCTAATTTAATACACTGATCTAAAACAATGGCTAGCTGGGAAAGTATTGAAAAACAGACATTAGACTATGTTCAATCATTTATAATGGATAATTTGAATCAATGGCTGCTTTGTCATAGCAAAAATGCCCTTGTCAATTTGTTTATATTTGATTACAAAATGACACTGGAATCCAAATATACACAGAGCTATTTTGAATTCTCAGATCTAATATCTTGAACCATACATGTAGTTGGTAACCGTCTGAACAACTTTGACCTTAATGATATACATGTACCTATGCAACCAGTATATGTCCTGGCCAGTCTGCAATTCTGTGTAATGTGACCAGACATAATAATTGAGACGAGCCATGACAAACCAACATAGTGCGTTTGCGACCAGCATGGATCCTGATCAGACTGTGTGGATGCGCAGGCTGATCTGGATCCATGCTGGTCCCAAACAATCTATGTTGGTTTTGTGATGGCACAGCTCAATTATAACATTACTGGCTGCACTTGTTTTAGCATTCTGATACCAAAATCACCTAAAATAACAATGGACAGTTCCAAATTCAAAGCAGGGCAAGGCCATTTTACAAATCAGGAGTGGCAGGAAGCGTCTCTTTTTCTTTATAATTTAATATTGTGTTGATTCTAGAGGGGAAATCTGAGCAGGCACTTCCCATATTTTATACTGACCTATATTTTCTTTTTCTTTGCATGATATTGAATAGCAGCAAATTTCTCTATCTTGGATAGCAGATAAATTCCTGGAGAAAAAAGAGAAAACAAAGGTTATACAAAAAAATGTGTACAAACAATGCACAACCAATTAAAAAAACAACAACAACAATATGCTAATTTTATAGACATAAATCATTTGATACTACTTTAATGAACAACAAAGTCTAGGAAATCATATGGGTGTGTTTGTTTAATGTTGAATTCATAACAGAAAATGAATCAAACACAACAAAATATTCATTTTCCCTCAAATTTGAGTATAAAAATTCCAAAACACTTCCAAAAATTCATAATTTGGCTTTGACTATGTTTCTTCTTTTTTTTTAATTTAACAAAATTCATGACCAGGATCCATTCAAGACGTTGATAAAATCCATTGTTAAAGAACCCATACAGGAAATGATCAAATCAGGAAATCAATTGTCTTTATAAACTACACACCGTATTTATAATATTGTTCGATCATTTACAATGAATAAATCAATGACTACCTCGTCCCAGCAAACACGCCCATGTCGCAATTGTCAATATTTGATACCAATGTTGACACAGGAATCTAAATATTGACCAGAATATTGCTGGTATTATTTTAATCAAGGATTTCTGAGATTCCAGTGAATGTCCAATAGCTACTATGGGAATTAAATGCTAATTTATCAAGTCAATCATGCCCTGAGAAAATTAGTCTGTGACACTTTAAACATATGTCTAAGAAAACTTGTCTATGACATTCTATACCAATGTTTAAACATTATATAAAGACGTACATGGGAAAAAATGAAAATCCTTAATTTAGCACTTTTTGCAGTTATTATTTAAAAACAGACACAAGGGGACTTTTTCGGCCGTAGCTTATGAGAGTCTTACTGGTAAGATAAAGTAAAATTCATATGTATTTCTGAAAATGTTATTCTTGGATAAATTTCAATACTTTTTCAATGAAATCAAATCTCTTGTTTGTTGGAATATTTTCCATAATTTCATAATGAAATCAAGCAATTGCAAATAAAAATTATTTAAAAACAATATTTTCATATGTTTCAAGTCAATTATTTGTAAAACAATTCAACTAACAAGACTAACAAAGTTCCATTGACTAAATTGATATTGTCATTTAAAAGAGTAATGACTACTCCCTACAAAATAAATAGGGAGAATTTGTCAAATCTAGGGAGAAGTCATGCATAACCTAGTATAAGCCATATAATTGTAGTTTAAATCTATTAATAAAGCTTTCACCTTTGAAATCAATCAAATGCTCTTTTAATATTGCTGATATATAAAATATTGATTTATTGTTCACTATTACAAATTACAACAGTATGTTATAGATTTCTGTAGCATGACATTTCTGTGGAAATTAATCTTAATCTACTGTATTAAATACTGCGCAATAAAGAATCAGCCTGTCTGGGTATAGTATTAATGTTCGAGGCTAAACAGTTTCTTTATAACATCTGATGATGTAATTTAATCAAGCTGAAAATACAACATTCTCCCCCCTCCAGAAAACGCTGCAACTTACAAGATATAAAATTGCACTTATTAAATAGTTATGCTTGTGTATATACCCACAAACAAAACATATAAAATCTATTGGTGTTTTTTTCCTCTATCAAAATAACTTAAAAGGGGTGCCACAGAAATAGACATACAAAATGTGACAGAAAATAAACTGAAAGAAAATACAAATGTCATTCTCTCAATAAATACAAACCATTAGTGAACATGTATATTTAAGAGTTTGAACTAGCGTATTAAATCTAATGAGCTAAACAGTTACCCAAGAGCGAGATATTTGTGTCTGTGACGACAGCCGGTGTTCGATTCTTTTCCTTGCATATGGCATATTAATCATTATTAGGAAAGAAAATACAGTAAAAGTAATATTTTCATTAAGCACTTATATCTTCAAGTAGCATATGGACTTTCAACTTCCTAACGGCAAAATGATGTCATTCTAAGAACGCAATTCATTCATAAAATTCTCAAGGGATTGACGTCATTTAAAGCATGTGACTTGTCTAACATGGAAGGTGTAAGACAGGTTTTTCTAGTACCAGTGTAAACAATAAATATTCCTGTCTGATATGCAAGAAATACATGTACTTACATTTGATCAATGAGCTGTTTTTCATCTAATGCACCTGGCAGGTCCCGTTTATTACCTAGAACTAACACCGGAATACCTTGTAACTGTGGTTTGTCTAATAAATTGTGTAGTTCATTTCTCGATGCTTCAATTTTGTCATGATCGGCAGCATCAACCATATACCTGTTTCAATATACAACACCTGTTTCAATACAAACAACACCTGTTTCAATATAAACAACACCTGGTTCAATACAACAGTATCTGTGTCAATATAAACAACACTTGTTTCCATATAAATAATGTCTATTTCAAAACTTGTTTCACTATAATAAATATCTGTTTCAATGTAAACAATATCTGTTTCAGTATAATTAATACCCATTTCAATATAAACAACACTTGTTATAAGACCTATTCGGTGCAGATACAAAATCATACAATCAACAATACTTACAACTTACAATATTTAATGGATGTATTCAATACAACAATTCAAAGTATTTTATGTCTTCCTACTTAAAAATTTATACATCATAATCAGACTTTATAGAAAGCACTATGTATGTAAGACTTACACTATAGCATTTACCCCTCGGCAGTACCTCTCCCACATGCTTCTGAACCTTGGCTGGCCCCCAATATCCCATAACTAAAATATATGTTAGAATATAAATCATCTGGCCCAGCGGGACTTGATGTACCAACAAAACAAATATACATGTACATGTATCTATGTGAATGAACAGATCCTATGACAGGAAGGAAGACTACTTCAAGATAATAAAGTGTAAATCACAGACTGCTTGATTGTCTGCACTTTGTCCATGAAAGACAATGAAAGATGCAACATCTCTTGTTTTTATTGCGTCAGCTACTGAATTATTATAGGGGAATTATATTTAAACATGTTACAAGTTACATATTAATTACTAATCACATTATATAAAAATTAATCTGTATTCTCTCAGAGTCTTCTATTCTCGTAGTAACTTTGACAGCAAAACTTTGTTATACCCGTGTACTTAATGAGATACCATAATGAGATAATCTACCTTAATGAGATAATCTACCTTAATGAGATAATCTACCTTGTTCTTAACAAGATAATCTACTGCAATGAAACATTCTACCACAATGAGATAATCTACCGGAATGAGATAATCTACCGCAATGAGATAATGTACCATAATGAAACAATCTACTGGAGCAAGATAATTTACCAGAACGAGATAATCTATAATGTTGGTACTAAAGATGATATGCTTACTTTAATTGTGACATTTCCTTTGCTTATCTTTCTCATGTTGAACCCGACTGTTGGTATCATGTCTTCACTAAACTGGCCAGACTGAAATAGAGAATCAATCACTCTCTGAATGAAATGAATGTGAAACTTTCACATTTTTTACTATTTTTACAAGGTGTAAACTAACATATAGTTAGTCAAGAATAAAATTTCCTTTTTAATGTCATCAAATAGTCGAAACGTCTCATGGAAAAGGGCTGAAACTTCTTGGGGCTGATTTTTGCACAGGGGCCGATTTTGCTTGGTGTCGAAACATCCTGCTTGCATTTACTCATTATACCTATTTTTTCGGGTGAGAGTGGTTTCATCGAACTACCGGTTAGGCGAACTGATCTTATATACAATAAAACAGGTAGTGGTTTCGGCGAACTTAATTTATATAGTGCAAACAATATCTGTTGTATAATGAGCACGCCAATTATCGTGGTTTATCACACATTTTCATGCAATTAAAGACAAGATATTGAAAATTCAAACCTAAAAATTTAAACATACGAAGACAATTGCTGTTTCTTGGCTTAAAGTCATAAAATAACATATGCATGTTTGACTTCCATATAATCTTGAAAAGTGCCGTAGGGCTTGACAATACAGTGAGTCCTGGCTAGCCGTACGGCTAGCCACTTCCTTCGCCGAAACCACCATAATTCTTTTTTTTCCACTGTTTAGTATTTTCACACTAGATTAAATTGATCTAAATTAATGCATGATTTATTTCTTATAAAAAACCTCAATACCTCTTATTCAATGTCTGGATCCAGACTAACACACCAATTAAAAAAGATCTTTACAGTAAAATGTAATATGGACCCAAATTGACAGCTGTCGGAAAATGTGGGTGGGGTAACAATTGTAATAATTTCAGGAATACTCTTACAGCAATAACGTTAACAAATGTAGTTTTCCCTGAGTACTGTAGACCAACAAGAGTCAATTCCATTTCCTCCTTCCAAAACAGACTCTTAAACCAATCTAAAATGCGCTGAAAGAATGACAACATCTTGCTTTTTGTGTTTTCACTTCCGTAGTACAATGGCTGAAAACACCAATCACATGACTGCTAATCATAGGTCAAGGTCGGTGATAAAAACCGTCTATAGTCGAATCGTCCGTTATATACGCATGTCCGGAGAAAATACAAAAACATAAAATGGCAATAATTTCATAGTTTACATTTAAGCTATCTGATATTAAATAATATTAAAGAAAGAATGTGAAATAAACAAAGATAAGAAAATAAAATTATCAAAACTAGGTGAAAATTATATTGATACTTTGACAAGTCGGCCCTTTAAACTGAAGCGAGGCAGTAATTAAATAAATTGATTGTATACTGTAGACTTATATAAGTATAATTATTAGTATTTTTATTTATTAAACGTCCCTTTATTTTCGTTTTATAAAATTATGATACATTTCTATACACGCACTTTAAATATCCTAATAACTTTATTCATTCTGGAGAGTAACTATTAAAATAAAACGAACCCTTTGCATGCTGGGAAGATGTTCGTCTGCTTAAATGTCGTCTGTTTTTCTTCTTTCTTTTTTTAGAATTCATACAACGCTCTTGAAACAGAAAAATAAATAAAGGGTAACTGCAAGTTAGCTCGATTCCTGACGAGACAATATGGTTAACTAGTTATTCTCACCAAACAAAAAACATTACATACATAATCTGGGACTTAAAAAGGGTAGTCCAAGACAGGGTCTTTCAAATGGAATGGTCCGGAAACGCGCTATGTAAACCTTTCTCGCTACAATTAAACATGTCTCGGCAGAACTCGGTATAGTTTGCTATACGCAAATCAAGAAAAGGGTGAAAATTAAAGCAAAAATAAAAAAGAGCAAAAATGAAAATTCTAACAACATGATGTTCTTTGAAAATCTTTAAACTTGTAAAAAAGGATAAAATATTTCAGGAAATAATGTTTTCCATATCTGTTGAAAAAGATAGATTGCTTGTTCTGAAAATTTGACGATAAATGGCGCCATTTTGAAAATGCACCAAATTAAGCATCAGATATTTATCAATAATATCGTAAAATATTATAAACTTTTTACATGATACGATTAAATAACATTTTTCCTCTGTAAAATCAGTTTCTGTTTTCCCATTGAACAATGCATAAATTGAAAAAAAGCTTATGAAACTTGGACCTATTTTCAAATATGAGCAGTAAATTTTTACCTTGACACCGGGAATGAAAAATTCCTAATTTCATTGGAAATCTATAAAATTGTTACTTTTTAAAGTAAAAAATACTCATGTAATATAGCCAGGATTAGTTTTCAGTAATTTTTTGATCGATTTAACAAACTATTATCTTATAATTTGACTTTTGAAGGGTGATGTACTATGCCAGGTCACGGTCAGTAGAAAACCTAATCACATGATTCAACCGAGACATCTTTTTTTCGTCAAATTCTTCCGGCTCCAGACCATTCTATTTGAAAGACCCTGTCCCAGATAAATTGGACAGAAGGACCTTTTTCTGAAAGTATGGCCCTCTGTCATGCAATGTAGCATAACATCATTACAATTAAGGGACAAGTTTTTTCATCGTAATGAAATATTAGACAAAAACGCGTGGGAAGCATATTTTTTAAAGTAATAGAATGATTGGCTTTTCAATAGATTAAGCTCAACATAATATTTTGAATGACTCTTTTAGTCTGTGGAAAACTTAAAATTCAAAAATCGTGTTTTCTGTGGAATTTACTTTAAATAATGTTATCGGAAGTCCCAAATTTGGCTTAACAATAAAATTGATGCTTACAATATTTAAAATTAGTCTTCACCAACTACACAGATATATAAACTTATATTAAACTCCATGCCAACTATTGTCATTTTTCTGAAAGCACATAACAGACCCATACAAAACAAATCTCTATATCTTAAATTCGTCTTATAAATTTTTTAACGAAATAGAACTGATTCGATTAACAATAGAACCAGAGATATAGTAGAATATATTCGTAAATTTCATTCAGGCGTACCAAAACATAGGAACCTCCCTACCGGAAAAAAATCACTGTTTTTCCAGTTATTACTTTTGAATAACATTAGACAAACTGTATGTTTTATGTTGTAAGCATTTTTTCAATTCTTTCAACTGTTATCACGATGTGCCATCTAAAAAATAGTTCTCTGTCCAGATTTATGCCAGTATTATATGTTCGGACATGAAAGTATTCGGATAGGCATAATTTTATTTATATGAACCTTTTCTTTAAGTAAATGTAACGCTTAAGAACCTTTCAATGTCAAAGATGCCCCACTTATTAGGGCAGATTTGCCCTGGTCTGTCCGTCATCCTGTCCATAGGCTGACAAAACGGAGGAATGTTTGGGCATTCATCGATTCATGTTCTGTGGAGTTTGGAAACATTTTTAGTTATTAAACTTAATTTGCATATGAATTTTACTTTTAATGGTTTCTGAAGGGTGAACATAAAGTTACGCTTTGTCCCTCAGTCTTTCCTGATATCTTTCCTTCTGCTTTTCTTGTCCAGGACATAACTCTGTAACAACAAGAGGTATCAAAATGAAACTAGATCTCATTGGGTAGATGTACAGTGCACAGGGCCGTAACTCTGCCTTGTCTTATTTTGGAGTTATTGTCCTTTGTTCATTTTTACACTTGGAACTTTGTCTGGAACATAACTCTGAAACTATAAGAGATTTCAACATTAAACTTTGTTTTGGAGTTACAAATGTATTGCCCTTTGTTCATTTTTACCCTTTGAACTTTGTCTGGAACATAACTCTGAAACTACAAGAGATATCAACTTGAAACTTTGTAGGTAGATAGATCTCATTGGGTAGAAGTGCAGTGCAAAATAAGCATAACTCTGCCTTGCCTAATTTTGGAGTTATTGCCCTTTCTCCATTTTTACACTTTGGGTAAAAGTGCACTGCAGAAGAACCATAACTCTGCCTTGCTTAGTTTTGGAGTTATTGCCCTTTGTTCATTTTAACACTTTGAACTTTGTCCGGGACATAACTCTGAAACAAGAAGAGATATCAACATAAAACTTTGTAGGTAGATAGATCTCATTGGGTAGAAGTGCAGTGCAAAAGAACCATAACTCTGCCTTGCCTAATTTTGGAGTTATTGCCCTTTGTCCATTTTTACACTTTGAACATTGTCCAGGACATAGTTCTGAAAGTATAATAGATATGAACATGAAACTTTGTAGGAAGATAGATCTCATTGGGATGAAGTGCAGTGCAAAATAAGCATCACTCTGCCTCGCCTTATTTTGGAGTAATTGCCCTTTGTCCATTTTTACACTTTGAACATTGTCCAGGACATAGTTCTGAAAGTATAATAGATATCAACATGAAACGTTGGAGGTAGATAGATCTCATTGGGTAGATGTGCTGTACTTCTGGATAATGTTTTTCTTTTTCTTGTTGAATAAATATACATAATTACATGCAGTTCCGTTAATTATTTTCAATGAAAATGAAGGAACTTTAAATTCATGAAAAAATAGGCCAATTTTTAAGAAAAAAATGCACAAGTTAAGAGAAGATGTAGGAAAAAAAACTATCCACTCTAAATTTGTTCTTGAAATTTTGCATTTAAGGGCAGATAACTCGAAAATGAGAATTGTGACCCCAATTTTTCTTTCGCTGAAAATGTTTCTGTTATCAAACAGTTTTAATTTTGCCAATAAGTCTATATAAAAACTCCCGAAAACGTCCTTAATGTAGTTGATTTCTATGACACAAACTTATAATTTATAAGCTGATAAAGATATCCAAAATAGCCCTTGTGCTGTATAAAAAATATTCTGTCATAAAATTTCAAGTTCCTGTGACTGTATTGGACTGTAAACTTTTAATGTCTTTTTTCCATTTATTTGTCATTTCTTTAAAAAAGAATTGTATTGACAAAATAATTTACTTTATTTGCAGTGTGGATATCAATAATTAAACAAAATGCTGCCAGGGATTATGGTGAAGTCATTGCTGCTGGTTTTGTCAGTCACAGGGCTTATGAGTTACGTTGTATACATAGGATGTCTTGATGGTGCTACAGCAGAGATAGGAGTTCAGCATTATGCTGAGAGAGTCCATATTTCAATGAAAGGATTCTTACCCAGGTGGATTAAGATGCCGTTTAATTCCGTAGTTAATTTAGGCTATGTGTTTGTCGGAGCGGCTTGGTGCGCAGCCACTACCATTGCACTGACAGAAAACACAATACGTAAATCTGACGCTCTTTTATTCTATATCTTCAATGTCGCAGCTTGTTGCTATGGACCCATTCAGACATTAAGAATTGTGACCCAGCTGAAGGGATTTGCCATTCTTGACCAGTGGTATACTCTGCCATTCTTCATGCTGGTATTCCTATGGGGGATGAATACAGTTAGCAGATGGAGCACAGTTTGGAACGTAACATTTATAGCTGCTTCGATTGGAAGTTATTTTCTATCTCTGTACGATAAACACGGATTTGAAATCAGCCTTGGTGTACACATATGTTTTGCAATTGGCGGGGCTGTCCTTGCTTGGAAGAAAGTTCCACAGGCTAAATGTAGAAACTCCTTCATTGGTGCTTTGCTCAGCTGTGCAGGATTTGTAGTGTTAAAGTTACTTGATCTTGAGCTTGTAAAATATCATGAAATTTTTAAATACATTTCCGGTCATTTGATTTCAAAACTGTGTGATATCGGACAGGTGCATTTTGTGAATATGTTTTGCTTTACTGTAAGTACTGCTTTACACGCTGATAGCAAAAAGAAAGAGAAATAGCAAGGGAACATTAAACAAGTTTGAGTTTTATATCTATTCTTATTTAGCTAGAGTGGGAAGTCTAATTTTGAACAAATTTTTAGTATAGGTTAAAGTTTATTAGTATGTATTTACAAAATTAAATTGGTCAGATGAGGTGTAACCGTGCAACCAATATAATTTTGTAAACATGTACTAATAAATTTTAACCAGCTTAGTGTTTAAAATTATTTTTATAAATAGTCGATTTACTAGACTGATTAACAGTTTGCAGATTTACCAAAGTAAATATGTTACAATTCATTTGAAATAATGCAATCCTACAAGACATAAAAAAATTTCAAACAATTATTTACTTGTGCATACCATTAATTTAAATGAATAAATGATCAAGTCATTATGCTCATTACTAGAAACAGTGTAATTAGTTCTTACAAGCTATTTCTATCACTGGGATCAGGGGATGTTATACAAGCAAGCTTGTGAATATGAGTGCTTGCCTATAGAAACATTTATTTTGGGTTGAAGCAGTCCTAGGTTAGTGGTATTGGCTGTATTGCATTGTGCTCAATACCCTAATTTTCCAGGTTTTAACTGTATCACAGGGGTCCAAACTCATTATTTTAAGTTTTTAACGGCACCAAGGTTGACTCTCCAACATTTTTGCATGTTGTAGTGTACAAAAAAAAAAAATGCAAAATATACATTGTGTTATCTCTGCACAGTAGAAATTTATTTTGAATACACCAGAAATCTTTGTCATTATGTCCCCCTTCTGGTATTTTTACTGAAATGTAATTTAAACATTTCAATGTTATTGAGAAATAAGGCAGAATAAATATTCAACACTAACAAAGATGATTGCATGTATAGTTACATAATTGATTTATAATATAAAAACATTAAGAACTGTTTTTAAACTACAAGTGGTGTTTCAATTAACACAATAATATAACAGAATGCTTATTTACATGTATATAAGGAAAATAAAATGATTAAAAAAAAGTAGTCAATTAAATTGTAATGTTGAATAATGAATAGCATGATTCATGAACTGGGGGATATTTCCTTCCATATATTGTTTTGCAGCATGATGTTGGTCAGTCTGTTGGTCAATCCCACATTATTTAAAATCAATAAATTAAGATTGCCTGGGCCTATTACCCTAAAACTTCATAGGTGTATTGGGTCTGGCCTGAGTAGATGACCCCCTTTGATGTTGGGATCACATTTTATGTATATATATTCTTGAAGGATTTTTTGCACAAAATGTTTTACAACATAAATGTTTTGAAGTGTTTTTGTATGACTTTTTATATATTATGAATAAAAAAGATACATTATTAAAATGACTTTATTATTCATTACTGGTGAAAAAGACAAAGGCATTAATACTTGGATTATAATCACCTTTGTTGACATTACACTTAGATTATTAAATATTCATGATGACTTTTTTGATCATTATACATGTAGCTTAAAGGGACTCCACTGAGGTTTTTTTTGACATGATGGAATAATTGCCTTTTACTGAATTCTCATACTTCAATATGCATCTTTTATAAAATATATGTATCTGTACATGATATCTGTACTCATAGAAAATATATTCTCATAGAAAATATGTAGATCTAGTCAATCTTTAATACTGTATGTAATTGATAGGGTAAATAGGCAAGATTTTACTTTTTGTCCCTCGCTTCTAGCTAAATCTGTTGGAAGCAGAAGTTAATTCTCCCAAAATTTTGAAAGTACTTCAACATTGAACAAAGGCTAATAATCTATTATGTAAAACAACCAAAATTTTATTTCATCATTTATTTGTAAACAAATTTTAGCATATTTTAATACATTTACAACAAATGAAAAATGTTTTTTCTCTCCCTTATTTCACTTGTTCATAACCAATAAATTCTTCTTACTTGTCTTATCATTACAATACAGTATTATTTCCAAATCTACCTTATTCACTGTGTTACACAAATTCAAAACAAATTACTATGTACTAAAATGTAACAATCCATTAACAAGGTGGCCACTGGAATTGTCCTTTTGGAGCCTCTGCAATCAATGGCTCCCAAGGTTTATACTGTACAAAATTTCTTGCTAAATGAAGTTCTCTTTCTGCCTGTCGTATTATTTCTTCAATCCTGCCATTGTTGATTTTTCTCTCTAGGGTGGCTATATCACTCTCCTGAAACAAAAGAAATATACTCATGTCACTTACCATGCTAAATAACTTGAATCAACTTGTCAATCTTTTTGCATTTAGGTACAATAAAATTGTTAGATGGTAACTTTCAAGTATCAAGAAATACTAAAATTAAGCATCAAACAGTATACAGTCTGTTCAAAAAGCATGCATTTGAATTGGGAATAATCCATTTTAGGCATTTGTTGTTTAATGTCTTTCAGTATAAAAATGCCAATATGTAGCAGCAAGCAGTATAGACCCTTGTCAGGCTGCATGGAAATGCAATTATGCATATAGGCATATCCTTATCATGGTGAAATATTTTGACAGTACTTCTGTTATCACCATAAGCACTTTGCAAGGCTTAGTTTAATTTAGTTTGATTGCAATGAAAGTCAGAAGATTATTTGAACTACTTTACGTCTACACCCTAGAGGTAACCAATACTGGTGACATTTGAGGAAAACATGGTTATGATCCAAGCAAGGTTGGAATCCTCAATCCCTGGTAAGTGGCAGACATCCTAAGTTTTACTGTTAAGTTTACCACTATGACATTTCTCCTCCTCTTGGAGGCTTTAATGAACAACAATGTAACTTACTGACTGTACAAGCTGTAACCGTTGTTTGATGATAGCCTGAGTGTTCACTCTGTAACTAGCATCCGCTGGCATCTTGCCAAGTACTCGTAATGTCCTTTCATACAGATTTACAAGTTTCTATAAAAACAGAAAATATATGGTAAATTTTGCATATATTGAGAAATTGAACAAAATAACAAATGATTCAATGGTAATTATATGATTTTCAATAGCAATCTTTTACTTCTGACTTGTATCTGTAAGTTATTACATGTAGTACTATTATTTTACATTAACACATTCTGTTAATATTAATTCAACAGACATCGATTCCTTTATTATTAAATCTCAAAATATGTTACAGAAGAAAAATTTACTCAATACTGCTATTAAAAATTCCCCAACAAGAAAAGTTGATTGGTTCAGAGAATATATGATTAAAACGATATCATAAAAAAGTAATTGAATATATTCAGTAAACTGTCTTTAACGTTTTAATTCAAATATTTATATACAATGTATCTGAATAAGTAAAAGCTGACTGAGGACAAGGGAACAATTTTTTTTATTTTGGTTATAATAAATTTCGTCTTTCTTGGCAAATCCATTACAACAAAAACATACCTTATGTGGCTCCTCAACAACCTTCAGACCCGTCAGGCCAGTCTGAAAAATATAAAGTTATATAAACTTGATATACTTGTTATTTTAAATAATAAGCATATTTTGAGCAAATTTGGTAAACTTGTCCACTAGGAAAACTTATCCACTAGGTTATTTTACACATTAATTTCTAAACTCAAGCGTCCTAGATAATAAAGAATTTTTCTAAGCTCAGGTATTTGACTGGTCGGAAAATGGTGTAGAATGTACACTGACCAATCAAAATCAAGTTATTATTACTTTGAGGCTACGTTTGAACTTTGATATCACAAGTGAAATTTGAACACAAAATCTACATATTTTTTCTCGTGGCCATCTTCATTTATTCAATTATTGCTAGAGTGGTTGGACCAATGCTCTGCGCATACCAATGCTCGGCGTAAAAAATATTTTTTAGAATATCTGAAAATGTCTCAGTTATCTCCGATTTAGGTCACCTGTGCTTTTATTTACATCTTTCACCATTTTACCCTGGTGTGGTTCACTGCTGGTAAAGTCACATGACAATGCTAATAGCAGATGAACAACCGCATGTAATCCGCAACATAATTATAAATTATTAAAAATTTTTAACACTAGAGTTCTGGGGCTGTAAAATTTAAACTAAAAGTTGAGTACTTGTAAATGTATGAACCAAATTTGGTTGTTACAATTTATTCAATATGATTTCTTCATAAGATAAAAGAGATTTTATTCGAAAAACAATCCTGCATCATGTAGTACTGTACGACGAACTATGGTACACTTTCACGCAAACCACTCTTGTTTATCCGGACTATGTTTATAGTATGTATAGCTCCAGCCATGCACATCATTATGTGATTAGCGAATTTTACACAATGGCTATTTAAAACAATATCATCGGTCTTGAAAATGGACATATAACATTGAGGTTTGTTGACGTTGATTTGAATTTATCAAATCAAATATAGTATTTTTACGCCAAGCGTTGGTCCACCCACTCTATAATTAAATTTATATTATTAATTTGAACTTCATTTGATGCAATCCAATGCATATGCAAAACAACATTTTTGGAAATTAAGCGATGAAAAAAACTGTGCTTCAGGTGAGTACTAATACAGGTTTTTCTGTGTCATTAACAATATAAGATAATGTACATGTATCTCAGATCTTTTAGTAAAAGTTTTATAAAATTTAGTCTACAAAGACGTACAATGCTTTCAAACCCTTCACGCATCCTTTGTCTTGTCCATATCCATATAGTTTTAGATTATAATGATAAATATTTATTTTGAGCAATTAATATATTATCATGGCTAAGAAATTGTTTTGTTATTTTTTGTCCGAAACAAGTACATTCTTTGACGTCCGAGTACTATGCAAGTTACTTTATTAGTAAACAATTCAAATTGTAATTTATTTCAAAATCGTATATGGGCATAAACGGAAGTGTTTTTAAAATGTTGTTAGATGCTTTAGTAATAAATTACCACTCTCCTTGCAGCGCCTGACATATCTTAAAATATTTAGCCAAGGACGTTACTTTTGAGCCAAGCTTCTCTAAATTCCGTATTTGAAATACGGAAAGGACCCGCATTCAGACCACTGAGCAATCTCTCCAGACTGTGAAACGAAAGAGAAAAAAGAAAGATCGATGCTTAGACTTACTTTTTTCCGTTATTTTGCAAAATATAAAAGTATTTCAAATTTCATTATAAATATAATTGACACGTACACTGTAAACAGGTAATTAAAAATCTTAACGTGATATTTTGCCATAATTACATGTTCAATATTATATTTTACTATGAAAAAATACCATTATTTCACGTGACGAACGGACGTTTTTGCAAACGTTGTTCAAAATGTCTCTTTAAGAAGATTAATAGGCATTGAGATTTATCAACTTGTATTTTCTCATATATATGTATATTGTTATACATATGTGCGTAATTTCTATCATGCTCAATACATCGGAAAACATTTTCAGTCATGCATGGCCAAAGTATATATAACAACTTGTACACGTGCAGCACGATGAAATGATGCTTGCATCAAATGTGAGGATCAATTCAATTTGCATTGAATGTTTAAATAGCAAAACATAAAATAAGCCCAAAATATCAATAGATCTACAGGAACGTGACTGAATCGTTTACCACCAGAATAATTACTTTTATTGCCGACTTTAGATAAATGGAAAATTTTGAACAGAGCGGAAATTTAAATATTTTTAAAATTTGCATCATTACATGAAATATTGGGTCACCATCTTATTTTCTTATGTTATAAGTTATCTGCACGTGAAAAACAGGATCTTTCTATTTTAAAGGCCCTACTGCAGTAGTGATTTCAAGTATTTTTAAATTTTCATTTTATTTTTAATTTTTATGTATACTATAATCACTATAATGTTCAAGAACAGGTAACTCATTTAAATGAAGCCTTGACCATATAATTAAAGTATTAGTCATTTTCATCCATGTAAAGTTTAAAACAAAATATTTACTACTAACATTTTACTATGCTTCAATATACTCAAACTCTGTATTATCGGCGCACTCTCAGTATTTTGTCATGTTCGGTCATTTTTTCTTAATAGGGGCATAACTGGAAGAAAATGAATTTATCATCAAAAGCAAGAAATCAAATTTGTGGGTATAATTTCAGCAAATTTTATTTCAGGATAACTTTCAAACATAAAATGGACATCATATGAGATGTTGCTTGCTGAACTTTTGAGTAATTGCTTTTAAAAATGATATCAGAGCAAGAAATCTCACTTTCCTGACCTGTTACCTGTACTCTGACTCGGTATTATCGGCGCAACTCTATTATCGACGTACTCTCAGTATTTTGTCATGTGCGGTCATGTATACATTGAAATTAAAAATCTTTGACCTCATTCAATAAAAAATGTAATGATTAGTTGAATTTGTACTGCTTTACACAGAATATTGATTATTAAATTCATGAATGAAATTCAATGCAGGCATATAGGAAAACTTAAGTACGCCGATAATACGGAGTCCCATGCTACTTAGCATAATTAGGCTATTGAAGTTCAGACTTGTTGCGAGAAAACGTGAAAAACAAAAACAAGTTTTCCCAGCTTTACAGCATCCCTCGCTACCAATTACAAGAATGAATATTCGTAATGGAAAGGTAACAGTTTTTCTCAGTCCATAAATGACAAATTATACGTATTTTGGCAAAAGTAGAGTATGATTGATTGCAAACTAAACTTTATTCGGATAATTATTAATTCGGATGCTTATGAGAAATACTCAGATGTAGCTAATGTTGTAATTGGGGTCCTACTAAACACTGCTAAGGACTGCTAAGGACCTCTAAGGACTGCTAAGGAGCCACAAAGGACTACTAAAGAGGCACAAAGGACCTTAAAATAGCTCCTAGGCCATTCTTATATTACATGGTATTATTTTTAGTGAAAAAAAAATTATAATTTTAAGAAAAAATATGATTTTGGTGAAAATTTTATGAGTTGTCGGACCGCTAAGCACTGCTCAGATACACAAAAGATTGCTAGGGAGACACAAAGGACCTTAAAATACCTCCTAGGGCATTCTTATAATACAAGGTAGTATGTTTAGTGACAAAAAATGTATAATTTTAAGGAAAAATATCATTTTAGTGATAAAATTTATGTTTTTGAAGAGTTGTCGGACCGCTAAGGACTGCTCAGGTGCACTAACAACTGCTAGGGAGGCACAAAGGACCTTCAAATCCCTCCTAGAACATTCTTATAATATATGGTAGTAAGTTAATAGATAAAAATGTATTATTTTTAGAAAAAAATATAATATTGGTGATAGAATTTATGCTTTCGATGAGTTGCAGGACTGCTAAGGACTGCTCAGGTGCGAAAAGGACTGCTAGGGACCTTAAAATATTTCCTAAGGAGGCACAAAGGACCTTAAAATACCTGTAAGGGCATTCTTATAATACAAGGTAGTATGTTTAGTGATAAAAAATGTATAATTTTAAGGAAAAATATCATTATAGTGATAAAATTCATGTTTTTGAAGAGTTGTCGGACAGCTAAGGACTGCTCAGGTGCACTAACAACTGTTAGGGAGGCACAAAGGACCTTCAAATCCCTCCTAGAACATTCTTATAATATATGGTAGTAAGTTAATAGACAAAAATGTATTATTGTAAGAAAAAAATATAATTTTGGTGATAGAATTTATGCTTTCGATGAGTTGCCGGACCGCTAAGGACTGCTCAGGTGCGAAAAGGATTGCTAGGGACCTTATAATATTTCCTAAGGAGGCACAAAGGACCTTAAAATACCTGTAAGGGCATTCTTATAATACAAGGTAGTATGTTTAGTGATAAAAAATGTATAATTTTAAGGAAAAATATCATTATAGTGATAAAATTCATGTTTTTGAAGAGTTGTCGGACCACTAAGGACTGCTCAGGTGCACTAACAACTGCTAGGGAGGCACAAAGGACCTTCAAATCCCTCCTAAAACATTCTTATAATATATGGTAGTAAGTTAATAGACAAAAATGTATTATTGTAAGAAAAAAATATAATTTTGGTGATAGAATTTATGCTTTCGATGAGTTGCAGGACCGCTAAGGACTGCTCAGGTGCGAAAGGACTGCTAAAGACCTTAAAATATTTCCTAAGGAGGCACAAAGGACCTTAAAATACCATAACTACTATATACAAAGACATACCCTGACAATAATGCAGGTACACATATTAATGTTTAAGCACATATCAATAATAAATCCAGTCTTAAACACATATCAAAACATCTATATACATGAACACAGATCTTGACTTTACATATAAATGTACAAGCACATATAAAAAGAATATATATACAAACACATATCATTATGAATCGATCGCATTTTTTCATATACATGTATGTTGAAAATGTGTATATTGGCTGAACAAATTGTCCCTTCTGCACATGGACTATCTATGTCAAATAATAAAGTTATTTAAATATCACAGAAAGGATAACTATTTGGATGAATATTCTGCAAATTGTCAATCTTAAAACAAGATACAAACACCAAATCATTCTTAAATCAAATATGCAAACACATTTCCTTAAAAAAAAACATCAAAAATTATATGACTTTCTAATCCTTTTTTGTTCGAAAACCCAGAAATTACACGCCGCAGGGAGGCGTTTGTTACATTTTTGGGGGAAATGTTACACTAGATGTTCAAATCTCATAGTCCCTGGGATTTTATATTAATGATAATAGCTTTATTTGCTTTAAATAGTACATAATGTTCAATTAATGTAAACAAATAGAACAAATTTCAGCAAAAATACATAAAATCAAGCTCCTTGATCAACGAGTTCCTTTCTTTTTGTATTTCATAGACATTTGAATGAACTGTTCTGAATTAAATAAGAACATTGATAATGAAAGGAAGATTCTTTATTTCCAGATAATGTATTACCATTGTGTTAAAGAAAATTATCATACAGACAGTAACTTTCTATATATATTTACAAAACAATATACAGTGATATAATCAGATTTATGTTTTTAATAGATATTATACAGGCTGAAGTAAATTATAAGTTGTCATAAGCTTGAATTTCTATTTACTAAAATAGTAAATACCAACAAATAAAAATTTTCATTAAAAAATTTACAGATCTGCTTTTAAATTGTTGTAATTTATTACTACCAATTGATGAAATTTTATTTTTATTTATGTGAAATGTCAGTAACATTATTATATGAAGATGTTATTATGATTCAGTGTTATAAGTTCATTATTTCCCAGTATTGATAGTTCTCTATGTTAATGTTTCAGTATAAATGGACAGCTGATCATTCATTAAAATTTATAGTCAAAATATTTGTTTAGGACTTTGTTTACAAACAAATTTTAATTATTATCACTTTTTCATTACTGGGGTCATAACCATATATTAAAATCCTTTTTCTTATGATCTTCTTCCATTTCTTATAATAATTATATTGGTCAAGTGATATGACAATGTGCTGGAATATGGAGACAAATACTTTATTCAGGGTGGTGAAATATATTTGTTTTTTGGGGTTTTTTTTTCATTGACTATATATTTGGCCAATAAAAAAATGATGTTCAATAGATCCTTAGACTAAATTGATCTACAGCCTACTTAATAGGCATTCTCTAACAGAAAGTCCCTCCCACTGTTTTGAAGTATACCACCCTATATTGGCACCCCCACTGGTTTGTAATATATCACACATCCCAATATACAATACACAGCTCCCAATATACAGCTTGTTAACTTCCAATAATGTGCCAGCCCCATCTGTACATGTATGTATATAGTTAGGATCCTTATCCCACTGTTTTATGAGGGGCTGGGATAGATGTTTTGTTTTTTATTGAAGTAAAAAGAATGATCTTAAAGAATCTATGTTTTTAACCATTGATTAATTTTAACCACAATGTCACTTCAACATTCTATATATCCTACTTTAATAGTTTTCTGTGAATATATAGCCTGATAAGATTTATCATTCTGTTATGATTATTCTATTTAATTTTAGTGTGAAATATTTCTATGTACAGTTGCAAAGCTAACTACTTCCATATCATACAACATAAGAACAAGATAAGTTTAGTGTTATTGTAAAAAGAATCATTTGCTCATTTCTGTTACATCTGTCCACTTCAGTTCCTTAAAAAAAAAATATTTATATATATATATTTTTATCACATAAACCCCGGCGCAGGAGAGTAATAAAGCCATTTAATAATCAAAGCACAGAAGGCGCTGAATTTGTTTGGGTCTCAGAAATGTAAGAAAGGTGCAGGTTGTGAGATTATATGTATAGTGCCACCAATGCTTTCCAGCGTTTTAATTGTAGTAAATTGGCTATAAGACTAATTGCAACACTGATATTCAATCCAATGTTTATTTGACTTTAACAATTTGAAAAAAAATGAGTTACCTTTACTGGGATTTGAACTCCAGACCTCTCACTTCCTAAGCGAGCCCGAAAACCCTTCAGCCACGGTGAATTTATATGTGAACGGGCTGAAGAAAACCATATTATTCTAAATTAGGGCTTGTAACGACTTTAACTGTTGTTTAACACAGATGTAAATAATCCTGGAGCTTACTATAAGCATTTATATTTATAAAGAATCAAAGGGCTGCAAGTTCTGTGGTATTTTCTGATCTTTGCAATCTAAATCGTACTGTATATCTGTATGCATTTTCCTGTATAGGTTTATTTTTATGTATTATAATTCATTTTGCAAGGCACCAGAGTTTGATACATACGGAATTCTGCATAACTAGAGTTGCATCAAAAAATCATTTATGTTCATTTTTTACGACAGTCACACTTTATCCTTGTATATCATGGCTACTTCCTTAACAAAAACACTTAAAAAAGAATTTAACAAAAAAAAAAAGTTTCCTCGACTGGGATTCGAACTCGAGACCTCTCACTCACTAAGCGAGCGCGTTACCACTGTACCACGGAGAAGTTATACACATGAAATCTGAATAATATCAAGTGATTCTAAATTTAGAACTTCCATTGCATTTCGGGTTTGTAATCCTTATTAATTTCGAGGATTTTGTTCAGGGTAAACCTGTTGTTTAAAATTGAAGTAAATATTTTAGCGAAAATCCTCTCGCCCAAACAGTCCGACATGTAGAATCTATATATTCCACTACCCGGTTTGTGTAGTATTCGGTAATAAATTCTATTTTCATTGATAAAAACATATTCATCCGGGTAATTTGTGATTGTGCATTTATTGACAATTCTATAAGCCAACGCTATTGTTTAACTTTGAATGCGTTGTAATTTGATGGATACTTGTAACAAAATAAAATATTTCTTTCTTTTAAATCGCTAGTTTTAAGCTGTTTTGAGAACTACTTGTTGTTAGGTTTGTCGTAAACTTCTGTGTCAGAGATTGAATGTCCGCTTTGTATTTAGTTATTTTCGATCAGAAAATACAATAAAACAATATTAGAAATCTTCGACCATTCGGGAATTACTTTGCTTGAAAATTGATGCGCCTGTCTTTGACCATCTTTACGCAGTGATCTCCCCTGAATTTTTCGGCTTTAGTATACATACAAAAGGGAAGTAACCGCTTCAAAAAAGTGGACTACTTTCGGCATTTGCAATTAACA